ACCAGGCCGATCCCGGGCAAAGTGGGCCAAAGCGGTCCTTCTTGGTTGGATTGGTTGGAAATAGGCCCTGGTTTACCGGGAAGTGGACCAAATGGAACGTCCTACAAATAGGAAGCCCTCGTTTTCTGACTATTAGACTATTAGGATGGTTTCACTTTTCACAACTAAATGAGAACGGGGTGTGGGGCGAGTCTCAGAAAAATGTCTTGACAGCGGCTCGAAAACTCGAGAAAGGAACCGTGGGGCTCGCCTGTCCATGGCGTAAAGAGGGCCCTGCCACGTTCAAAGTCGCAATGTCCACGTAGATCCGTGTAAGAGTGGGTAGTCAACTCTCCAAGCGCTCTTTGGGTATGTCTGTTTTGCAGGGTACCCTCTTGATTTGGCTTTAAAGGGAAACTAAAAGGACAACCACCAATTTGGGGGGGTGCTAGAAATAAAGACACACCCATATTCTAGTTTGGCCAAAAGTTGACTGCTTGGAATTCGATCAACACAAAGCACGGCGTTTGCATCTAGCCGCATCGCAAAACACCAAGCACGTAGGTGTCCTTTTTGGGAAATAAATGGCCCTGGTAGTTGACCCTCTATGTTTAAACCAATTCAAACGAGAAGGACACCCATGACCACGCAGTTGTGTTTTCGATGTCTCGCATTTCCAACTCACTTTGCAGCGGCCGACGGCACGGGACGGCACCCTTTCGAAACCAAGACGGACCGCACAGAGGCAAAAAACAAGGGGCCCGGACCCGTTCGTTCACGCGGGCCGTCTCGTAGGTACCGTCCACGCCGTTGCCGGTGGTCTTGACGTACGTCCACAGCCGCCTCAGATGGGTTCGTGGCTCTCCAAAATGTGTAGTTTCCTGCTTGCTTCATATTGGCTTCTGATAAATCTAGAGGACCTAGTCAGGGTGGTCCCCTTTTAGTAGGGAAATAAACGATTTTAGTGGCTTTGTCTGACTCGTAGACTCGTAGGGTCCGGATTAATTTGAACATTGCCATAGAGATCGTCCCCCAATTGAGGGTCCCATTTGGAGATGACATTTCACCGTTGGTCAGTTTTGCGGGTGCCCCCTTTTGGTGGCTTTAAAGGGAAATGCCAAAAGCAAACCTTGTTTTTTTTTTGGGGGGGGGGCCTAAAAAAGGACACACCCACACCCATTTACGTGGGAAATGAATGCCTGCCAAACCTGTTTGAGGGCTTTCACTGCCGAGACTGGACAAAGCTTGAAGCTTTTCCGTGTTCGAGTGACTGGATAAACGCACCCGTGACATCCAAACAACAAAGTGACAGGAGTGGGGTGAGACACATTCAACTTGTTGATCACTCCTAACGTGATGTATGCCCTGCTTGGAATCCCGTTAGGGGGGGCTCTTATGGAGTGGCTGGGTAAGTATTGCAAGTACAACTATCTCACTGCCGACGCTGTACCACTACCAGGGGCAGTACCATCCCCTAAAGCCGGAATCAGCCGCACTTGATTTCCTTTCGTGAGTTGATGAACCGCCAGCTCTGAAAAACAAATGGACAGGCAGAGCTCAACCACCAAAAACATCGAGGGGGAGGTGAAGCCTCCCAGTAGGTCTCTTCGATCTGCGACCCTGGAATCCGCGCTTGAAACATCCCACCAGGGGAAAGCCACCTGCAAACGCCAACCAATACGTGATGCTTGATACTTAAAATCCCCCTAAAAAGGAACATCTGGGCGTCTCAAAATTGGGCGCAACTCAAAGGTCTTGCAGCGTCCCTTTTGCGTCCATGCAACTCGAGTATTGGCCAAGAGACCACTCATCCAGTTGCGTGCGGACATAGACGGCTGCATTGACCACTTGCACGCGGAATCCGTAGAAGGTGCCCCTGCGCGGATCAGATTTTCGCCTGCCCTTCTTCGGCGGTGTGCCTCCGGATGGTCTCCAAATGAGGGCGAATGGGGGCGGGGGTCCCTGTGGTTTCCGCTTCTGGCCCCCCCCAAAAATATTCTCAAAGAAAAGAGACGCCCTTGTACCTCCCCCGGAATTCCCTGAGCTAGCGCTGAATAACCTGAGTCAAAAATGAAGCCCCACACACAATGCCCGACTTGACCCGGGTGGTTCTAAAGATTGGAGACCCGTCCGCTTCGGGTCGCGTTCTATTGCTCTCCAAAAAAACCCTTGAAAACTAAGACAAAACCAGAAACGACCCGTCTCCTTAGGCCTCCCCTCGGCAAAAAATAACCATTCGCCTCAACAAGCGGCCAGTGGTGGACAGCTTGGCGCGGTTGTAGGTGAGCTCGTTCACCCTGAGCCGATCTGTCTGGTTCGCTGGACCGCAACAACTTGGGGGGAGTCTTCACAACGAAAGTGGAAGCTTCCCTTCCAACATGGGAGCCCGTGCAATCGACCAGTGGGATGTATCTCCTCGAGGAATGAGATATTTAAGTCCTGACCACCCGGCCGTGTCTTAGGGGGAACTCAAAACGCACGGGGCGACGTTCCTAAATGTCGTTCACCTGTCCCACCCCAAAGCCTTCCAATCTCTGCAAAAAAAAACAGCCTCGAAGAATGTACGGCTTCCAGTCAAGGGCGAGTACTATCTGGCTATTGCCCCCCCCTGCTTAAAAAGTCAAACTTTCGCTGGCCAGTGGGAAACTCGGAATCTTTCCCCAAGATTCTTTCTGGCTTGAAGATCCTCATAGCAGCAAAGCTCTTCCAAGCCTCGCCAGCTGCCTCCCCAAATCTCAAACTCGCCAGCTGCCCGGTGGCTTCGCGCCGAACAGTTCAAGCAAAGAAAAAGGGGCTGAAGAAATCCATTCGAATGCCTGCAGAACCCAAGATGTGTTTTGTTTAAATTCAGATGTTGGGCCCAGTTGCTTGTTGGTATTCAAATGGTGCTGGGCGCAAGTAGGATTTCCACCTGTCTCGGTCAGAATAGCTCCAACGTGGACATCAACATTTCGGTAGGGACTCATGCCCAACCTACTCTTGAGGTGGTTCCAACTCTGAAAGAAAAAGAAGCATATTCCCCCACATGGCTGTGGCTCAAAAAACCGGCGCCAAAATGGAACCCTGGAGGAGACACGGACCAAAACTTGCGTAACCCCTCCGATCGTTCAATTTTGAGCCACACCCACATGTGAGGTGGTTCCAACTCCGAGCTGGCTCGAGTCTTCGGACCGCAGGGCGCAGGAAGCCTCTGGGCTCCCGGCGAGGTAGGTGCCCCCACGCACGGGATGAGCTCCCCCGCGGGCAGCGGGGACTGGAAATGATGTGCAGCACTTGGAGGCGGGGCAAGGGGGTGGGGGGGGGGGGGGGGGGAAGCAAGGGGGTGCGGGGAGGGGGGGGGGAGGGGGGCAAGGGGAGAAGGGGGGAAGGGGGGGGTGTATACTGTATACACTCCTTTCCGGCTGGACTCCTGTGGAAGTTGACATGAAAAGCTCAGACTCCCATACGTTTGTTGCCGCGCTTGGATGGCTCAACCACGTTGGGAATTGAGGTAAAGGGCACAAGCACGATGGTGTGGCTTTGGGGAACCAGTTCACGTTGGGGACCAATTTCTTTGCCTGTTTCAGGGATCCTTACATTATACACCTGATCGTTGCCTTGTAAATGGTGGTTTCCTTTTATTTTGGTGGAAAAAGCCATGTTTCAAAAAATGTCTCTTTTAAGTGTTTGTCTCAGTGGATCGCCTCTGCATTTCCACTGGATTGGCGCCGAGAGACAGCGCCAGAATAGGCAAGGACTCACAGCAATCCGCCGGGGAAGAACCACTTTGAGCCTATGTTGGCTCATTTGAGTCATACTCAATCCTGGCATTGAAAGGGTCTTGCTTGGACCAAATCATCGCAAAAAAAAAGTCGCACGCACTGGTCAAAGACAGGCTATCTGCCTTGAACCTGCCCCCTCTGCCTTCAATCGCCCAGGATTTGACGTTAGCCACAATTTCCGCCCATCGACTGCACCTCAACTACTATGTCAATGTAAAGAACTACCAGTACAAGGGCGGCCGCACCCAATTCTGGCTGGGACTGTCCCGTAACCTTGACTTCCCCGAATGGGTTTCGACTATGACTCCAATGCCTTTCTGCAAAATAAATGTCCAAAGGCCTGGCCCAAGTCTTTCCCAAACCTTCCTAAATCTCCTGCCCCACCCTTTTCGGGACCCAAAAAAACCATGGCGCCGCACCCCGCCCCTACAAAGCCCAAAGCCGCGCCCCGGAAAAAATTGGGCCGCACCGTGCCGCGGCCCTCCGGGATGTAATAGATGTCATCCAAAGGCAGAGCGGAGCAGTACCTGACGTCAAGAAACATGGGCACCAGAGTGTGGTTCCAACCACAGGACAAACATCTCTCACAACCATTTCTTCAGAGCATTTCTTTCGGGGTGCATATCAAAGGGATCCCATCCGCAGCATCAGAGGCAGGAACTCTGAGTTTATGAAAATGAAACACACTTCCATGAATGTGACTCGGGGAAGGCGCCATCAAACAATGATGCCTCGAGGCATGTGTGGATTGTTTGATTATTTGTGTAGAGCTTCTCAGAACATGTGTTTTTTTTTTCAAAGTTTTAAGCATGGTTGCTATGTGTTCAGAACTTTGACGACTTGTGTTTTCGTGTCTTTCGGAGTTGCGCTTTGTTGTTTTCGCTTTTGGGTATGGTTTGGAGCACTTCAGGATGTGTTGCTGGCTTTCAGGGCGTGTTGGCATTGTTGCGAAGTTTCCGGTGTGTTTGGGGGGATTCTGGAACAGTTTCTGGAAGGCGTCAGGATTTCTTAAGCCATACTGTGGATGGACGAAATCCGTTCGCACCACTTTGAAACCATGGTTGAAACCAGTTGTTTGTTGGCATTTGCAGGGGAATCATCATTCGAGGGTGTCTTAGGTGGTGCAGGAGTTCGTCCATCCACGGCATTTGGGGGTGTGAGTGGCAGCGAAACTAGTAGGCCAAGTGTGACATTGTCGGCAGCTGTAGAGAAGAGGTTTCCCCTGCACAAAGGGCAAAGAGGCAAACCCCAGAACACATCCTGAGGAGGTTGTTGCCCACCTGGAAGACTTCCACCCGTCAAGAGCTACAAGTGTTAGAATGCAAAAGGAGTGCAAAGCAGTTGTGTTGGCATTTTTCAGAATGAAATGTCATTTTTAGGCAGGAACCAGAATGAACCTGCAAGATTTCACATTTTTTCTGCAGTTACTTGCATGAATTGTTCCCCAGTGGCTAATATGAGCCCTCTAGTACGAGGCCCTGACTCATCTAATAACCATTCCTGCACGGTTCCTCAAATTCGCGTTTTCAGTCCAAAAGCCGAAAGCCTGGCATTCAGGCATTTGCCGTCAAACCTGCGTTTGGAGTCACAAACGAACACGAAAACGGAAGACTCAGAGGGGCTCACTGGCCAAAGTTGAAGCCGCTCGGCGCATCCACCTCGAGTCGCGGATTGGGCTCAGAAGATCTGATCCCACTTGGGCGAAGACGCGATACGCCCCCGAAGAACCCCCAGCAAGTCTTGGAGACGGCTCCAGGTTGGAAAAAGACACACAAAACCAGCGCCTCAACATGGGCATCGCGCCGGTCCGCCCTTTCCAAATGGAACCAGCTTCTTGGCTTCCATTGATGGGTCCACTCCACATTGATTGAGAGCTACGGGTACAAAAATTGGGTGCTGAACGGAAACAAAAGTTTCGACCACTCGTTTGGGGGGGGGGGGGGGGCAGTTCCCTTGAGACACGGCCATAGCGATCCCAAGCACCGCGCCCAAATCTCTGTCTCCACGTTCGTCAGAGAGCCCACCTCACAGAATTATTTGGCTTCGTCGAGCGTGTGTTGGGATCTCTTTGGTCAATCACCGTAACTGCTAGGGTCCAGGTGTGTCTGTCTTTTTTCTTGAGGGGTAGACAGCCCTTAGTCGTTTCTTTCAGCAACACCCAAAACAATGGACCGTTGCATCATGTTCTTTGGTTTTTTTTGGGGGGTGGAGGTCCCCCTCAAAAAAAGACAGGCCCAGGTCCGGAAACACCCACAAGTTGAAGTTCTCCATTTCGGCCGCCCAAAAAGCTTGTTGGGTGAGAGACCACAGTGAGACCCACCTATCTTTGCGAAAGAAACTCCGCAAAAAAAAAAGAAACTACACTTTTCGGGGGGATGAGACCCCAAAAAAATGGAGCTCTGAGAATGCTTGGCTTCCCTCTGGTCTTCCTTTCAAAGTTCTCTCAGACCTTGCAGAAAGGAAATCTTCGCCTCTTGCTCCGTCATGAAGAACACCGAGAGGGTGTTGAGCTGTCCCACTCCATACTGCGCTGGCCTCAGATGCGCGGCGTGGCTTTGGAAGATCCGGTCCTTTGAGGAACCCCCTGTACCACATCTTGAGACAGACCAATTTAAAGACATTGCGGTCAAGTGAACAGAGCCTTTCTTCAGCGACTCCTGGTTCTACCGAGCTGGTCAAGGTTAGTAGACCTTACAATCAAAGCCACTCTTCTGGGGAACAAAAAAAACGGAGGTGCGGTGGTCCGAGGTCCGCGCGCGATGAAGAAGTCACTGAGCTTCCCCAATACCGAGAGGGCATTGGAATAGTCCGTGCCCAGCTCTTGCCTTTCAACACATCCCGCGAAAGCGAGCTCTCGGCGAGAAAACTGCCTCTTCTAGGCTGGAATTAGGACCCGGGCAAAGGGAACCCCAAAAAAGCAAAAAAGCAAAAAGGGAAGCTAATTCTGGGGAAGTCTTCTAGGTCCTCCAGTAGAGAGGTTAACTTTTTCCTGTCAATTTTAGAAGGGGAAGCCTCCCCCAAAAAAAGGGGAGAGAAGTGCACCTAGCTGGGGGACCCAGTTTTTCTCTTCGGCGCTTTCCTGGCGCTGGCGCCAGAATGAGGACTCCACGGATCGATCTTTCCTGTCCCCAGAAAAATGTCCAGCGAAAAAAGAAAACGCCCGGCGCAGAAGCGACGAAGCCTAGGATCGAATGCCTTCTGCCTCGTCTCCCGAACAAACCGCCAGAGCCAGTCTGAGTCGACGCCTGTGGGGGATTCACAGACCCTAGAATGCCAGGGTAGCAAAGCCCATGTCTTTGGAAGGGCCTTACATGGCTTGTTTATGGGTTCCATGGTTCGTCGACAAAGCTCGTGATTATGTTTTGTCTTAAATGCCGAGCCAGCCAACTTGGCTAGGGTCCCTACTAAAGCCTCCAAACAACGGCTCAGACGAAAAATAGGCATGTCTTTTTGGGGAGGGGGGGGGGGGGGTGGCGGGAGGGGGTACCCTTTTTGTGTGGCGTTAAAAAGGGAAATCAAAAGGACAAGCATCATTTTGGGGGCTCTCCTAAAGAAACATAAAAGATGCCATCTCACAATGCTGAGCCCTCAACTGCCTTGTTGAACCATCGTGCAAAACCCATGATCCCAAGGCAGACCTCGGGGTCTGATTTTCCCCGGCTTCTCGGGGCCGAGAAGGGCGAGAAACATCTGAGCCGCGGGCAGGCAGAAGAGCGTGTCGCGAGGCGATGGGCAGAAGGTGAGCTCTTTGGTGGAGAGGGGCGTGGAGGCGATGGTTTGGGCGGGGTTGAAGCCGTTGTTGACCACCCCCAAGGACCACGCGTTGTTGGGATCCTCAGAGAAATGCGAAAAAAAGGTGCAAAAAAAAACACAGCAAAGGGCAGCCGCAAGAGTCGTGCTCTCAGCCCGCGGAGTCCGCAGCTCCGCTACACGGCTACCATTCGCTGAGCGGCATCGCGCTTCAGGGCTGTGGTCGGATTGTTGACCACCAACTCCACGAAGTAAATCTCGGTGGCGCTGTATTGGACAACACCCGGCACGGCATCTTATGAGACCAGGGGTGACTCTGATATGCATAACAGCACGAGCAGAACTGAGGCATGCACTGTTCTGGCATAGACAATCATGTTCTGAGCAGGTGCTGGCTGAGATTGACATCACAATCATTCAAGCCACGCACACGCACATACGCATACAATGTATCACGACCCACCCTATCTTCACGCCTGCAGCAGGGTGATCTGGCACATCACATCAGGCGTTGCCTTACATGCACATCTGGCGTACCCCTGCTTTTCATTCCGCCGCGTGCAGGTTCAATCCATCAACACTCAGCCAGCCAGCCAGCCAGCCAAGCAACCAAGCAACCAACAAGCAGCATCCAACCAACCAACCAACCAACCGACCAACCAACCAAGCAAGCAAGCAAGCAAGCAATCAGGCAAGCAAGCAACCAAGCAATCAGCCAGCCAGCCAGCCAGCCAAGCAGTGCAACAGCCAAGCCAAATCTGCACGCCACGTTTACCCCAGAACCAGAGCCTTACTTCGACAGGGAGTCCCCCCCCCCCAAACAGGCCGCAAATAGGCATTTAAACCGAAGCCAAAAGGAAACCCTTGCAGGAACTCTCGGATGCCCAGTGGCCATGGGAAATCAGGGCATCCTTTTTTGGTTGGTTTCCCTAAACAAAAGGAAACCCCTCCCAAAACAAAATGAGAAAAGGAAGCAACCCACTGGATTCCCTATGGCATTTAAACCGAAGAAAAAAGGAAACACTTGCAGGAACTGGACCGATTCTCTTGAGAAACCTCCAACCCCGACTGACGGCAACTCGCAGCAAAACCACTTCAGCTCCGCGCCGGGATGTTCCTGTACCGGACTTCCGTGAGGCGTCCGCCCTGTCGAGCAGAGAGATTGTCGCTGGGACTGCCAACCCAAGCGGCTTTCCTCCCAACATAAAAACGTGTCAGGTGTCACCCCCCAAACAAGAAAGAAAGCGAAGTGAAGGAGCCCCTTCGAAAAGCCAAGAGAAAGATTCACCAGGGGTTGAGGGCGGCATTGCATTCATTGCCGCCTTTGCGGGTTTCTTCTGCCAATCCGCACGCCGCACAGGACGCACCCCGCCAGCCGCCCCTTCGTCGAGGGGAACTTGTTGGCGAGGATGTCCAGGTCCGGAACCTTTCAGCTTCACCCTCATTGGTGGCTTGGAGCCGAATCGGTGGCTTGGTGGTGAAATGGCTGTAGCTCAAAAAAGTGGTACCAAAATGACACCTTGGCAAATGGAACCAAAGACTACCTGCGTAACCGTAGCTTTCTTTAATTTTGAGCCATACCCAAGAGGGCTTTCCCATTTGCCCCGAACAAGAACCAGGGACCCGTTCAAATCCCAAACCAAACCAGAACCTTGGAGCTCGCAAGAAACAGAACCACCCTCCCCGTTTCACATGGAACCTGACAGGGGGGTCCCTTTAAACCCGTGGAAGGGAAAATGGCCCAAACCAGTTACCCGCCAAACAGGTTTCGTGTTCATTGGCGGGAGGGTACCCACACATCCCAGCTTCTCACACCAATTGGTGGTCTGGAGCCCACTGGTTTGCTGGGCGAAAACCCCATCTACCCTCTGAACTGGGGACCCTTCCAAATCCCCAAACCACCAATTGGGGGTTACTTGAGGGTCTATGGAATCCTTAACCATATACAAGTAACCACAACTAAGCAGAACTAAGCATAGCTCACCATAACTACAAGTAGCTGATCGGGGTTTCAATTCATAGCGCGATTAGCAGACTGAACGTGACTGAAACCAGGAATGGCGGAAACCTCCCCCTTCGTGGGAAAACGGATCCGAACTGAACCTGACAGGATTGCCAGATTTTTTCCCCCAACCAAGCATAACCAATCTACGGGATCCAGCCATGCGGCTTGTATCCCACCCTCCAAAAAAAGACACACCCGTTTCCCCCTCCCCCGTTAGCGCGGAACATCTCCCCGCGAAGTGGTATTCTTTCTTCCTCACTTTTTTTGGGGGGAGGGGGGGAGCCAGGGTCATAAAATCTGTGGTTCGGGAAACTGGAACTCTGGAGATGTTTAGGCACGTTTCATCCATTCTACCCCGTCTTTTTCCACCCAAAGTAACTTGAGAGCCTCTCGGACTCTCAGCCAGAGGTCCCCCCGAAACCGGAAAAATGCAGAAGTTCGAACCTCGGCGATTGGTTCGCATCGTTTCGGTAAACCAGGGGCGTCCTTCACATCCAAATCGGCCACACAAGAAAATGCTTGGGCGCCTCTGATTTCACTCTAAGCTGCAGGCCGATCCTCCTTGCTGTGTGGTGGCGCATGAATAGCCTGCCAGAGTCCAGCTGCCGAGAGATCGCCCCTGGGTCAGCTCTGGGCTGTTTGAACTCTCAATCCTGCCAGTGGATGGTGGCGACATCCGTTCAAAGGCACCGCCCTTCAGAAATCTAGCGGAATGAGACGATTCCCCCCGCAACTTCCAAGAAAACGAGAAAATGTTGTCCCAAAATGCCCAAGTCGTGCTAAACAGACCCCGTCCATCCACAGTTCAACAGAGTGGTGTGATCACTGTGGAGTCCAGCCAGCGACAAAAAAGGAATGCCTGCCTCTGGCCAATCGGCTCTGGTCAAAAGGAAGCATCCCCAGGAGCCCAAAGTTCTGGGAGGCTTCCCCTTTGGTGTCACCACGGAAACAAAAGGGTAACTACTTTTGCTTCAGGCCCCTGGAAAAAATGAGAATATTTCCAGCAGTGAAATCGATTCCCTGTAAAACCGACAGGGGAAAATTAAACAAAAAGAAACAAATGAAAACATATTCATTTCACCAAATGGAATGGTACCAGCCCTGGCAAAAAAAAAAAAAAACAGCCTGAGGGGGGAAAAAACGAATCCAACAAAACGGCACCCTCCAAAAAAGCTGGGGCGCATCCGGCCGCGTATATAAGCCGCACGTCGCGCCTATGGGCAGCTTGAAGTTGATCGCGGCCTCTCACGCGGGCTGTATGGGTTCAGGGCCGTCCGTTGGCTTTTCTGAACCCAGCCAGACTGTGGATGGACGAAATCCGTTCGCACCACTTTGAAACCATGGGAAATCATTGATTGTTGGCATTTACAGGGGAATCATCATTCCAGGGCTTCTGAGGTGGTGCAGGATTGTGTCCATCCACAGTATGGGGGTATTGAAGCACACACCAAGGGCTGAAGCAAATCCAACCTATGATACCAACCTGAGCTCTTGAGACCCGAATAACATCTTTGTGGGCCCTTGCCGTAAGTGACGCCCCAGAAAACGCTGCGCTCAAACGCCAGGAAGCCCCCACCAATGGGCTCCAATGGGAGGCTTCCGGAAGATTCAAGGAAAACCCAAACGGAGGGACACAAACACGACCTAACACGTCGGCCACGACGAAAGCTCAAACACCCCTCGCACTGGCAGCGATTTCCCAAGGAGGCATTCAAATGGCCTGCAAGATTGATAAACCTAGAGGATTACAATGCAGTGTCTCGAGCAATTGCTCGAGCTGGGCCACCCTTCCCATCAACCACTGATTGTATACCATCCTGGTTCACATCGAATCGCCGGTAGGAGATGGCACTCCCCATGTCCATAAGTTGATCGATGACAACACCGAAATGGGCAGGTCGTGCCACGAAACGGCTGGGGGTCAAAATTTGGGAAACAACCCAAACTGGGTCGCCCTGGTAAAATGGACCCAAGGGCTAAAACCTGCGGTCCATATCCTGGTGCCTGGATCGCCGGTTGCTGCCTTTTTCCATCCACTTTACCCTTAAAACCAGCAACAGTGACCGGAAAAAAAGGAAAAAAGGAAGAAACAAAAAGCCACTTGGCTATCTAGGTGGTTCAATGTTCACCCATGCCCAACTCAGAGCCACCCCGAGCTAAGGCCCAGGGCCAGGTTCCCGAAGCCGTGGAAGGTGGTGCCGAAGGCGATGCGCGCATAGATCCTCAACCCAAGCAACCGGACCGAACAAACGAACCAACAAACCAACCAATGGGACCAACCAATGGGACCGACCGACCGACCAACCAACCACGAACAAGCAAACGAACGAACAAACGAACCACCCGCCGAACGAAGCAAACCAATGGGACCAAGCTACCCACCGCCTGCCTGCCTATGAAGCAAGCAACGAACGAGCCTGCCTACCTACCTGCCTACCCACCCACCCTACCAATCAACCAGTCAAGCTTCCGGGTAAAGTTGCACAGGTCCTTATCGAAGCTGTCAACTCGCCATGGCCTTCACTTGCCTCCGAGTTGAACAAAAAGCCTAGACCCACAAACCTCACCGGATTTTCAACAGCCACAGACTTTCGTACCAAACCCTCACCCAAACCCGGCTGGATTTCAACCCCATGGCTCCCAAAACGCCAAAGGCGTTTCTCAAAACTCGGAGGCCCGGGCCGATTGGTGGTGTCGCCCCTGAAGGGCGCCTGGTTGCCGTCGCCCACCTGCCGGATCAAGACTCATAGCCCCCAAGGTGCCTGTTGCAAAGTCGAAAGGCTGCCGCTGGTGGAAAGCCCAACTGGTTGATGAAAAGCAAGTTACCGTATTTAGATCTTCCGCGCGTCAAAGAACAAAACTCGGCAAGCCACCCAGTGGACTTCTTCACAACTTGAGAAAGGACGAACTTTCGTGGCTGCGCATGCGCCAGACTTGAACTTGGGAAATTGAAAGGCGGTGTCCGAGGGAGCTGCCTTGGAGACCAACGAGGCCGACAGGATCAGCGGCATCTTGTAGAGCCGAGCACCTGAGTTCCCACTTACGTCCGGCACAATGGGCGGGGATCCCTTATGAAGGGCTTCCTGAACATCTGCGGCACACCCCACGCTGGATCCGCCATGGCAGCATCACGAGTTGGGTTGGTTTGGGGGGAATCTTCTGTGCGACCGACCCCCCCCATGTTTGGTGGCATGTTGAGGGGCAAATGGCAACCCGGGGCGGGGGGGGCACAATCAAAAGGCTGGCATTCAAGGGCCCCTTCAATTTTCCTGGCAAAGACTGTTTGATTGGCGAATATCCGCACCTAGATGGTTGGGACTGCTGGGTTCCAATCTTTCAATTGTTGATTTGGGTATAAACTAGGACCCACACATACTAACATTCCTTTTGGGCGTGTCCTTTTCGTTGCCCTTTTGCGGGGGTTGGTTTCAAGGGAACCAACACGAAAGCCCATCCTGAAAACCAACATAAACACCCAAAATGCACACCCTCCCTAGTGGTGGGGGAGTGCCATGGACACTTAGAGTCTATTTTGCAACCATACCCTGAACAACCAACACCCTAAAAGGAGGTTGCAAAATAGACCCTCAGTGTCCACCATACGGGGGGGGGGGGGGCCTAAAACACGACACACCTTAGGCTCCCTATGAACCCCGCCGTCTCACCAAAGGCTCGATCCGCTCGATCCTGGGCCCGGACTCGCGCCCTGCAAGTTGGCCACGGAGGTCGCCTGGCCCGCAGAAAAACCCACGGCCAGCCAAGAGGAACAGCTACAGAAACAAGTCCCGGGATATGGATTCACTTGGTTTCTGCTGAAACACCAACAGCTAAAACCGCTCGAGGCACAAACCGCCGCAGGCCCCAGGAAATGGGACTCTGGCCGCAAGTTGGGATCGAAAGAACCTTGCAGCCAGCAAAGAAGAAAGGGATCCACTGTGGAGCTACAACTGAAGGGCGAGCAAATCAACGCTCAAAGAAAACAGTAGTGAAATCGACTCCTTTCAAAACCAGCAGGGGAAATATGTTCAAAAGAAACTTGAGGCCTGAGTTCAGGTTTGACAATTTGCAGACCTCATCGTGGGCCTTCCTCAGTTCGCCAGTTGCGATGTGTCTGTAGAGTTGTGAAGGAACACGGGCGGTGTCCTCTTCTTTCCTTTTTCCTCAAATCAGGGAGGCTTCCCAAAAGGAAAGTAGTCTTCCCAGTCAGCTTCCATGACTGTTTGGGGGACGGTAAACCATCCCAAAGACATCCCATCTCGGATTCCCAGGTTGATTCAGACCCTGCGTCGCCAAGATTGAAGGGGCGTGGTACCCGAAACGAAAAAATGCAAGGACCCTGCAACCCCGCCCCCCCACACCTTGAGCGTGTCCCAGTAGTCTGGTGCGAAGCCGCCATCCTTCATCACCCTCAGGCTGGTCAATGCCCCAACTTGCGGCAACAAAATGCCAGGACCACCCAACTGGCAAATCCAAGACACTCAACTGAGTCTCTCTTTCTTGAGGGATACTCTTTCTTGAACTCGCGTTTTGAGGAAAAAACACTAGGAAACCCACCCTAAAAACAAGCAGTTTTTTGGTGGTCCCCATGGTTTTGGCCCCATGGAAAGGAAACCTCTGGATTCGAATCCTCGCTCGAATCCTTGGGCAACGGGCTCGGCCGTCACAATGGAGGGGAAGAAGCCCCCCGCCGGCAGCGGAAGGTTCCCAATCTGGGCGTGCGGGATGGTGGGGCCCCTGCAAAATACCACAGAAGCCCAAATATGATGTGTATATATATATGCGTATATGTAAATATGTAAATATGTATATATGTATATATGTATACATGTATACATGTATGTATGTATGTATGTATGTATGTATGTATGTATGTATGTATGTATGTATGTATGTATATGTATGTGTATGTATATGTATATGTATATGTATATGTATATGTATATGTATATGTATATGTATATGTATATGTATATGTATATGTATATGTATATGTATATGTATATGTATATGTATATGCTTATATGTATATATGTATATATGTATATATGTATATATGTATATGTGTATACATGTATATATGTACATATGTGTATATATATATATGTATATATGTATATATGTATATATGTATATTATGTATATATCTACATATGCACCTATGTACATATGCACATATGTGTATGTGTGTATTGTTTGTATGTGTGTGTATATACATATATATATATGTATGTACATATACATGTATTTATATATATATATATACATATGTATATAACATAAGTGTGTATTTGTGTTCATTGATTTAATTATTTATTTAATTATCTATTTATATGTGGTGTACATGTGGCGCATGCGCTCAGAAGACAAAGCGGTGGAGCATTTGGACCAAACGTGGAAATGAATTCTGCCCCTTGGCACCCGAAGGTGTCGGGACGGGGCGCTCGGTTCTCAAGCTGTGCGAGTGGCTCGTCTATTTTTAGGGGCCCCCTCTTGGTGTTGTTTTGAAAGTAAAGACACCAAAAGGAAATCCCAAGCGATTTGGGGGGGTCCCCCCAAAAAACAGGACACACCCTTGTAGAATGCCTTCGGCGATTGTTTGACCGATGCCCAGCTTGCTACTACAGAGGATGTCGAGGGGATCCCCTTCTTTTGCAATTAGTTTCAGCATGTCAGGCGCGGAAAGACCTCGATGACTCAAGGAAACGATTCCCTTCCAGCTTGTTTCGCAAACTTGAGGAATGAGCCCCACGCCAAAGCTTTGCTTGCTTTCAATGAAGCATCGTACAGTGGGTTTCTGGGAGCGAGAATGATGTTCAGAAGTTCTAGTCATCAGGACTAGGAGTCAGAGAGAACCTGATGACAGCTCCTTTCTGGCAAATGCTCCCTCTAGTGCTAGTCAGCAGGACTAGGCATCAGTAGAGACAGCTCCTTTCTGGCAAATGCTTGCTCTCTCTCTCTCTCTCTACCTCTCTCTCTCCGATTTGACAGCTCCTTTCTGGCAAATGCTCCCCTCCCTCTCCGATGTTTGTCCGCATCTGTGGCGATTTGCAGAAATGCTGTGTCTCAAAGGAATGCCCCGGCCAGAGCTCAATTGCCGGGCCTTCATGACCATGCTGATTTGATCATTGATGTCCGCCATGATGTTCGGCATGATGATCCTGACGCTCTTCCAAGGGCCACCTACAGCTGATTTGCTTATTCGCTTCTTCTTCTTCTTCTTCTTTTCTTTTTTTTCCCCGGGATGGATCCGATGTTCTGGAAGAAATGCGATGTCTGCTGGCTGTCCTTGCAACTCCCATCACTGCAAGTCGCGCTGGCCACCCGTCGAAAGGCGAGGGTCCAATCGCTATCCGCGGCTCTTCCCCCCCCAAAAAAGGAACAGGTGGTGTCCATTGCCCCCCAGGTGGCCTCATTTGGCCATGGGCTTTTCAAAATCCCAATCGGTTAGCCCCCAAACATCCGATTCAATCCAACCACTAACATAGACTAACATGAGTGGTGAACCTCCCTCAAAATGGTACCATTGGTTTTGACAACCACAGCCACGTGGCCCTCAGAAGCGGACATCAGAAGTCGGTGGGGGATGTCCGCCACTTGAGGATCGGTGGTCCCAACTCTTAAAAGTCGGTGGGTCATTTGGAAGGGCGGCTTTTGCATGATGAAAAACAAATGGCTGTGGGTCAAAACCCTGTACCCCTGGTGAACATCAAAATGGGTGGCAAATGGATGTTCATCTTGCGGGTGCTTTTTGTTTGTGCTATTTGCATGCGGGACCCCCGGCCTCTTTTTCGACCCCCGTCTTCATTTCTCTCCCAAGGTGGCCTCAAGGTGTTGATCGGCCAGGGCGCCACTCCCACCACGATGCCTCGAAAGCGGCGCGAAAGCGCCGCGAAGGCAGCGCCAGAGGCGCGTGGGCGTGGGCGTGGGCGTGGGCGGGGAAAAATCGAAAAACGACGGCGGCGCCAGGGGTTTTGAGAAATGGTACGTGGTACCCCTTGTTGATGTTCTTCCTTTTTGGAACACCGTGCAATGTTGGGGGGCCAAAAAAAGAAGACACGCTCGTCTTAAGCCAAGCTGGAAAGGGCACCCTCAAACGGCGCACTCACTGGACTCACCTTCCCCAAAAAAAATCGACGCATCCCCCCCCCAAAGCCACCGCCCCTGCGCCGCAATTGGGGTGGCGGCCCCCGACCACAGACTCGGGCTGGCAGATGGGGCTGGAGCCTGGGCATGGGGTGCGTGCACAGCATCCAACGGCGCCCTCTCCCGGCCAAAGGAGTTGATGTCACGGTATCGGAGTTCGAAATTCAAGAGATGCTGGCCACTTGACACATACCCGACGGGGAAACCGCTGACAAAGCCACGGAAAGAAGCACTGGGCTAGAAGGCTTGAAGCTTCAATTAGGGTTGTGTGACCACTTTTGAAGGCAAGGTCAACCAAGACGACACCATTTAGATGGGTGCAAAACAATCTCGTGTGTCCCTTTCGGGGTATGTGTCTGGGGAAATCAACATGCCATTTGGCGGGGTGCACAACGAGCTTGCTTTAAGCTCGCTGTCACACCTACACCTTTTGCCCACATGGGTATGGGTCAAAATTAAACCACCAGGGCACCGCAGGCTTGAGTCCACGTTTCCATTTAACAGGGGAACCCATTTTGGGTTTACCCGATTTTTGACCACCACAGCCAAATTGCTGTGTTTTTTTTTTGGGGGGGGGGGGATCCGCCTGAAGCACCGCACAGCTTTGCAAGGCTTTCTTGGCTCGAGCTTGGGGCACCGGCAAATGCCGCCCACCGCTGGAGGCACACACGACACCAGGCCAACCTGCCGAGTGCGGAGTGGGTCTTTGGTCTTCCGCAAGATGGGCATCAAAACATGGCCGTGGCTCAAAAAGAATCCCCAAAATGGAACCTTGGTATAGGACAGCAGAGACTGAAACCTGCGGTTTTGCCCCAGCGTGCGAGCATTCTGAGGCCCTAAGGCAACAAAAAGACACACCAGGATCCCCCAAAATGGTTCTCAAACACAACACTGCGCCAATCTGCTGGCAGAGTATGACGGATTGCAACACGAGCCCAAAAAGTCCACGCGCTCGCCTGGAAGTATTAGAGCCTCGAAAGCAATCGCAACATGGTCGCCATCTGCCAACTCAACTTCACCACTTGCAACACCACTCGGACGAAAGAACTTTGCCTCTACCTCTGGGCACGCCCGGGCCCTGCCTGACAAGAGGCGCCAATGTCCCACTGCGTCAGGGGGTGCAGCCAGAGTCGCAGGATGGATTGCCTTGCGCCAAGCCGCGCGAAAAAACCGAGGGTGGGGGGGACTGAAGGGTTCGACCTGTTTTCTGGGAAAAAGACGAAACTTGCGGGTGACTACTTACTCAAGAAAAAGAAGGGGGGAGGCACCTGCAGCATTGACTTTTCTTGCAGAGAAGCCGATGTGTTGTTGACGATATTCGCTTTGGGAAAGCTGCCGCGCGGCCGGCGCCTACTGAAGAGTTGGTAGACCGCATTTGAAGGGTAGCTGTCCATGCATTCCCGTTTGGCGAAAACAATTTGCACGCGATCAAGCAAGGTTCGATTGAATGATTTGCTGGAAGAGAAAACAAAAGCAACACCGTCGCTGTCAATTTGCTACAAGTTCCTCCGAAACAACTATGTTCCGCAGCCATGACTTGGGCCAGGTCGTGGACGCCTTTGATGCCTTTTGAGGGGTTCCAACTTTAAAGGGTGCTCCCAAGAAAGGCCTCGTTCTTGAGTTGGTACCCAACTTGTTGGCGGATTCTTCAAGGGAAACCAAAAGTAAGAAACGGAAGCCATTGTGAGGCCGAACCAAATGAAAAAAAAAAAAAAACACGCCCAAACGGGGCTCGGGATGCCCCGAAGACTCGTTCCTCAAGGGCCAACCCCATCAACCGAAAGCAACGAGAAGTCGTTTGACCGTGGCGAATAGATGTAGATGTAGATACATACAGATATATATATATATATGCTAAAGGCATAACACACTGGAAAATACAAGCCAAACGCACCAAACCAGGGTCCATGGGGAGGGGAGTACCATATATATGCGCACCCACGCACTCGGAGCTCGGAGCATCAGCTGTGGGGCTTTCCGAAGCCCTGGCCCTTCTCTGCAGCCAGGGCACGGTCGGATGGGGTAGCCGAGCCTGGCCTTGATTCTGAACTGGAAGGCAGGCACCTGAAGGCTGAAGGGCCAAGTTCAGGCAGAGGTCGGGCACTGGCAAGAGTTTTAGAGGGAATCCTTTGGTGGCCAGAGGCGTCCTTTTTGAGAAAATGGATGGGTTTCCCTGGTAGTTGATTGAACCACCAGGTAAACCAGGAATCGCCATCTATTTTTAGACCAAATCAACCAAAAACGACACTTATGTTATCACAGGGTTGATGACAGGCCCTCTTCGGGGTGATTTTGACCAAGGAATCCACAGAGGACATGCCACGAGATCCGCAGAAGAAGTCAATGGCGTGAAAAAATCCCCCAACCTGGAAGGAAAGCCAAGCTTGCCTACGATACAAATGCTCTTTGGTCGCAATGATGTTGTCAGTCAGCCGTTTTTGTGGAGCCAAACCGCTTTGTTGCCACCTGCCTCTATCTCAATGGCTTGTTGGGGTTGGTGGGTCAGGGGATGTCTTTCTGGGGTTTCAGCATCCGAAGCTCATCCAAGGGCCCTCGCATAGACAAGTGGGCCCCCCAAATGGGTTGCCCACTTTTTCCGCTCAAGCCAACAAGACGGTGTGTCCTTTTTTGGTGGAGCACCCTTTTGATTTAAATGTGAACTAAGCGGATCCCACGTATTTCCGAGGGAATCCCCTATTTGGATATGTTAGGTTAGAGGGGCCCATAAAATAATGGTTTTCAAGTGGATCCCCTGTAACTCAAACCTAAAACCGGGTACGCCGCAAACGAACAGACAAATATATATATATATATAATATATATATAATATATAATATAATAATATATAATATAATATAATATAATATAATATAATATAATATAATATAATATAATATAATACAATATATCTATATATATAAGGCACCACCCCTTGTGTGGTGTGTTCCAAGGGAAACCCAGAGGAAAGCCAAGAGAGTTTTGTGGGAGGCAAAGACACATGGCCATGGGTCAAAATCCAAATCGTACCCCCAGTGAACATCCCAATCCCCACTAAAATACGTTCTAAAATGGGTGGTGAATTCACCTACCAACCAAAATGGGATCCCATTGGTTTTGACAACCACAGCCACATCCGTTTGGAGACCAACGAATGGAAGACGAGGCTACGGCGTTCAGCAAGTCGCCGTTGGCTTGCGGGCACTTCAGGTCGATCGGGGACCGGCAGTAGCCTGAGCCAAATCTTTGGGCTTGGTTTGAATGGGTATGGAACCCGAAAATCGGAGTCGGAGGTGTACTTTGGGTTCGCTTGAAAACAAGCCAAGAAAGGGTAATTTCACAAGTTGAGTCGCCTACCCCCCCCCCCTGGAAATGCGCGGGGTGTCCCGGCGTCCTCCCCAAATCCAAAGCAGAATGCCAATCATAGTTACTCACACCAGCCAGAGCGGGCGGAGGTTCCAAACGAGAAAACTCCAGATCCACAAAATGTGTTGCGTGTGCGCCCAAGCTGGGAAAGTCGAGCTTGTAGCAAACGAAGGGGTGTGTGGGCGTGTAGGTGCGCTATGCTGCGCATGTGCCATGGTGACCTCGTATTTGGCAAACGAGGGAGCGGCTCAAGGAGGGATCTGGATAAACTCCATTTCCTCCATTGCCACAGTCCTGCGCAATGTGTGTGCTTTTTTTCCATGATGCAGACCCGGGTCTTGACCCTAAATTCACCGCCAGAAAGTTGACCATTGGACCCATTCCAAGGGCAAGAGCGAGTTTCATGAAACAAACGCAGCCAGGAGTTGTGAGCACATTGCAAGAGTTGCCAGCATCAACCTCGGCGAAAAGCAAATGGCAAATATCTGACACATCGGCACTGCACGCGCATAATGTTGACCCCGTTTTTTTTGTTGTTGCTTTTTTTTTTTTTACGGGGGTGTTCCCCTCCAAAAGTGCTAAATCCCCACTAAAACCAGGGACACCCCCATATGAATAAACCGGGGTTTATTAATCCGGGGTCAACATTGAGTGCAACCGGATGCATCCATCGGCAAAGAAGCGACTGCTCTGCTACTGCGCGCGCGTCCCCTCCTCTTCCGACTGGCATGGCTGACAAGCCAGCGTGGTAGAAGGAGACACGCTGGGATTCTTCCTGAGCCGAACACTACATGTCCAAGCTCCCGCCTTCCCGAGAAGCTGGGTTTGCCCCAAAAGAACGGCACCCCGAAATGCTTGGCTAAAAGAACGGCATCTCCCTCGGCACCCAACCAGGCAACACCCGGCTCTCGGGAACGATCCGGATGTTTGAACCAAAAGCTAGCCAAAGAAGGGGCCGGAGACGACAGCCGCCCTTGACGCTTGCAGTGCAGCTTGCCAAAATAGGGCGCAAGGGCCCAATTGCTGTCACAGCATGTTGGACCCAGATCGCAGATTCCTGGCTCCAAAACTGCTCCGAAGCCCAGAGAATGGGAGGCGGCAGTTTGAGCTCGTGGCGTCACACTGGCCGGCGTTGATTTTTTTTATTTTGTTTTTGCCCGAGGCCAAAAAGGGAGCTTAAGAAAACAACCATGTTTTTAAATGGACTCCATGTCTGAACCGCGGAAACGTGGCCACCGATCTGCCGAGGGCTCCCGGCTCATCGTGGGGGATGCAGAAGGTCTGCATCTCCTGGCGTCGAGTCGCTGCCTTCTGGTCCCAGTCTTTCCAGGGATGGTTTCTGGAAAACCTCCGGTTTTACACAGGGGAAAACAGATGATCCGGTTTTTTGAAAAGAATGGAAGAGAGTGAGTGGTTGGAATCAAGCCCTAGTTCTCCTTGGGTGATTTTCAAAAATGCTCGGAACCGGGCAATAAGATGACCTTTTTTGGAGGGGGTGTTGGGCCATCTTCCAGCGAGCTTCATCCTATGCTGGGCCTAGGAGCCCAAGGCTCCCATGCCTCAGCATGAGGCAGCTGTGTACAGTGCAATGGGTTTCTAGACCAGCCTGACATACCGGAAAACTCCCGAAAGGGCCCTCGGCTGCTTTCTGCTCCCCTGCTAAAAGTGAATAACTTTTAGTGGTTTGACGCTGTTCAAACAACCCAAAGAGGGGAAACCTACTTAAGGTACGCCTGGTGCAGCGTCCAAGTCACGTGCGTCCAAAAAACACCAGCGCACGCCGACCCCGCCTCGATCAGGGCACCATTGGTCCCCAAGATCTTGAAGCCCTCCGGCAAAGCGCCCTCGCTATCGAAGCCTCAGCCGGAGCCAAGCGCCGCAAAGAGAGAGCTGGCTGGTGATGCCTGGCGGCTGTCAAAAAAAAAGAAAAAAGAAAAAAAAGCGAGATCCTCAGGAGAAAAAGAGAAACGACAACGGGCTGGCTTGCGAAGCAAGCCTAGTTTGCAACCCGGGCATGCGCAGCTTGGCTTCTGAACCGGATGTTTGTGTCATGCAGCTCGGAGGAGAAATCGAGATCCGGGCGGGGGTCGCCGTTGGTGTTGAACATGGGATTCTGGCGCAGAGTCAAGTCGGCAGTACTTGTATGTATCTACTGCAAGGCATCATTCCTTCCAATGGCCAAGACTCCTCCGGATGTCACATGTCCCAAATGATCCGGCAGCCAATGCAGACATGGCCCATGGATTTCGCTGCATGGGCTCTGCAAAGACCCAGGGTCCGTCCGCCCGGGCCGCCAAACTCCCCCATGCGCACCCCAAGAGTGTCTCGCGGAGGTACTCGATTTGTAGGAGAAGGATACGCCTGGCACAGGTGCGAAAGCTGCTTTGAGCCAATTGCATACATTGTGTGCGCATTTGGGAAACAAACAACTCAAAGCCTGAAATGCAGCACCACCAAGGGACGTGCACCATGAATCATGAATGTGTTGCCTGCAAGTGCGGTCGATCAGGCAACTCGGCTCGGGGGCAGTGATCCTTCCCTTGCGCGGGAATGTGTCCAAGCAACCCGGGCACATTCTGGAGGGTTCCCCGCAATTTCAACTCAGTTGTTTTCTGCTCCCCTGCTAAAAGTGAATAACTTTTAGTGGTGAAAACATCCATTGGTTGGCAAAAAGTTAAAGTCCTAACATCCCTGCACCAAAGTCAAGACTCCCCCGTGTTTTTCGTCCTTCCTTCAGCGGCTTGCGCGCTTGAGCAAACCGGGGCCAGGGTCCCCGGCGGAGCCCTTCTCAACCACGCCGAAGGGATTGTTGAAGGCCTCGGCTCCGAAGACAAGAATGGCTGCTCTCAAGATAGGTGGGTCCCAGAACGGTCCTTTTCGGGTTCCCTTTAATGCTAACTTAAAGCCAACCCAACGGGGTTCCCCAAATATCATTAAACAAGGACACACCGTTGTAAACCGGCTGCAACAACCTCACAGGATCCCTAGAGGATCCCTATGCAACTTGAAACTCATCCGTCCACGGCGGGTTTCGCGGCACTTTGCGGGACGTGGGTGCAAGCTCCACCGGCCGAATTTGCCCTGGGTCAGGGTGGTTGGTGCTATGAACGTTTGATAATGCCCACACATCACAGGCGGCCAAGTGCTCCGAGCACGGCAAAATAAAAGGGCAAAGTACTGCCCCGTCCCAAATCAACATGCGATCCAGACCAACCCTTGCACGAATCACTCCTAAACCGGACCATCCTTTGGGACGAAGCAGGCAAGCGGTTCTCCACTTCCTGTGGCTGAGTCCATCGAAATATCGCAGTGGAACCAGGACAACCCCGCTATTTGGCTATGGGTCAAAACCCCGCACCCCCAGTGAACATGCCAATCCCCACTAAAATAGACTAAAATGGGTGGTGCATCTACCCCAAGATGGTACCATTGGTGTTGACCCACGGCCATTTACCATTGTGCATGGGTGACGTACTTGCCACTCGATTTCTACTAGGGAATCAAAAGCCGTCCATACATCTTCGCGGCGCCGCTTCCCCGAAACCTTGCTCTCCCATCGAAAGTCGGGCTGAAACTCAGGCAAACACCTTGCATTTGTCTATGAGGTTGAACGGGGAGCCTCAAAAGTCATTGGTGGACATGAACCCCCACCTAAATGTCCACAAGAGAGTCCCCAATGAAACTTCCCATTTGCGCACTTGCCCATTTGGGTATGGGTCAAACCTAGTCACCACCAGCAAATTGGACCGCAGCTTTTAGTCCTTGTCAACCCATTCAATTTCCGATCCGGCAACTCATTTGGGCTTTGTGCTCCAAACTTGGACCCATTTGCCCATGTCCCATCCCATTTACCCATCCGTCAACCCATTTTGGGTACCATTCTTTGACCCACATCCTATTTACCAGGGTTCCATTTTGGGTATATACTCGAATTCTTTGACCACAGCCATTGCTCCCATCCAGACCTTCCAGACCGTCCAACCTTTCAACCTACCGCCGCCGAATCCCCGCGCTCTCCGACACCGAAACACCCTCCGAGGCGTCCAACGTCGTCCATGGACCAAATCCACACGGCGCCAGTGGCCGGGAAGTCCGCCTGGAGCTCCTGATGCGCGCAGTGCCCGTGGCAGATCCCGTTGCAAAACACCGAAAATCGCGCCTGCTGCTTCGAAGGAAAACACCCAAAGCAGCTTCTGAATTGCAGAGACCCAAGAGAAGCGCCAGAGATCTGGAAAGGAACTTGTGTTGCAATGCCTTCGAGGCTCCCTTAAAAATCAGCAGAAAGATATGTCCGTGGTGTGTGTTGCTTGGCCCAGCCACTCCTCTCTAAATCAGATCGCGAGGTTCAGCGGTGAAGGGCTAAACGGCGGCTTGGATTCTGGATGGGTTTTCGGAGGTGCCTTACCACTTGGTGGATAAAAGCTCCAACGGAGTCAAAACATTCAAACTGCCAATCCGAATCACCAGATTAGGCTTGACTGATCAATCTTGCTCCAGGATATCAAGAAGATAAGGGGTAAGAGGGACTGGAGTGTCCATTCCGCCACATCAAGATTCAAATCCCCAAACCACCAAGGGTTACCAGAACCGGTGCCATGTCTTGTTCTTCCGGGGGAAAAACCCCTGCTAAAAGTTCCACTTTTAGTGGTTTAATGGAAAACCCATGAGTGGGCAAAAAGCTAAAGTCCCAACATCCCTTGGCAAAATGCAGCAAAGAAAGAACCCCACCTTCCCCCCCCCCCCCCCGCCGCCCGGTGCCATTGCCCAAAGCAATTATCGCGGCTGAGGCGCCGCAAGCACGTCCATGTTGGTGATGGCCATGTACCTGCCATTTCAGCGATGTGCCAAAACCTGAGCTGACTTTTGGTTCTACCAAAATGGCTAGAAAGGTTCCTACCGGCTTAATTTCAACATATATATATATATATACATATGGTACCCCCCCCCCATAACCCCCCACCCCCCAAGCCAAAAAAAGCTAGAAAAACGGGGGAGGGGGGGGGGGAAGCAGCTGAAAAAATCGAAGAAAAGCATGGCCTTCTGAAAGAGGAAAAACCAAGGCCTACGCAAGAGGAAAGAATCCAAGATCTTCTGGTGGAAGGGCACCAAGCCAGAAAAAACAGAAAACTCAAAAATTGCCTCATGAAGACAAGCCCCAAACAAGAAAAACCAGAAAAGCCAAAAAAAAGTGACCTCCATCATCTATCTCCTAGACCCTGGCTTTTTGCTTTTGTTTTTTCTGATTTTTCTGTTTGTTTTGTTTTTCCCTTTTCTCTCTGGTTTGGGGCCCTTCTTCGGTGTTTTGAATTTTCTGGATGTGTTTTCTGGTGTTTCTGTTCTTTTTTTCTGTGTGCTTTTTGTTTATAAAAAAAGAAAGTGTTTTTCTGTGTTTGGTTTGGGGCCCTTCTTCATGATGCCCCTGGTTTTTTGTTTGTTTGCTTTTTTCTGGTGTTTGCTGTTTTTTTTTCTGTTGTTTGTTTTTCTTTTTCTCATGAGGACCCTTTGTTTGAACGGATAGATCTGAACAACCCAACAAAACTCAGGGAAAACCAAACAACAGAACACGAACAAAAACCACCAAGGCCAAACCCATTGGCAAAAACCGACACTTCTCCTCTGGGTTGTGTTTTGTTGTTTCTCGAGTTGCGTTTCTTGGCATATCCATATTTTGGGCAGGTTTGGCACTGCCATGATTGAGCCTTCTTGGAGCCACAGTGAACGGGTGGGACCAGTGAACTAGATGTTCAATGTTAAGTTGGAATTCAACACTCCTTTTCAAGCTCCTGATGCAGCTCTTTTGAAAGCTCTTAATGAAGGCTCCTGGTCCAGCTCCTTTTCACACTCGTTGTAAGGCTCTTTGCACAAGGCTCCGTATAAGACTTCTCATAAAACTCCTGTAAAGCTGCTTGTCGGACTCCTTTTGAAGCTCCTTATACAGCTCTTCTATGTCATGGCTCCATGCAAGGATCGCAGTACGAAGCTGCTTGCAAAGCTCCTTTTGAAGCTCACTTGAGTGCTTATAAGACTGTTTGAATGAAGCTTCAAATAAAGCTCCTTACGCGACTCATCATAAAGCTCTGCTTAAGGCTCCTTAAAGGCTCCTTGTACAATTTCTTGCACAAATGCTTGTATGGCTCCTTTTAAGGCTCATGATAAAGCTCTTTATAAGGGTCATTGAAAAGCTGCATTTAAGGCTCCTCATACAGCTCAAAATGCACATGTTAAAGTTCTTACAAAGCTCATTATACTCCTTGAAAAGCTGCTTGTGAGGCTCCATGTACAGCTCCTGTTAAAGCTCTGTTAAAAGAACTCCTTATCAGGCTCCTTATCCCAAATTGGACTCCAATCGAGGTTTAATCAGTGTTTAAATGAAGAAAGTCTAATAGGATTTCTATGTTGAATGAGAATGGAAAGGAGCAGTGCTTTCCATATGTGATGTTAAACTAACATTAACTAGCAGAATGTGCAAAAATAATAATAGGGCACGAGCTCCATTAGACGTCTATCTTCAGCGTAAAGCGTCCTTTCCATGGATAGAACTTAGCAAGGGAATAGTTCCAATGTTTGCTGTATCAATTAAATAAGACCTAAATCAACATCTAGTTAGGATTGTACTAGAATTGAAGAACAAGACATGTGCGATTCAATGTCGATTCTAACTGAGGATTAGAGTAGGAAGTACTTTCCAAATCGGCCTTTAGTCAAAGATAGTTGCTATGTAAATGGTATTTGAATGTCTATTTTGATTGCTAATTTGAGTAGGAAATCCTTTCCAAACAGGACATTAAACAAACTTGATTGCAGTTTGGCAAGCACGTGGAAAGGTAATGGACAGTAGTGGAGCAGATTTGAACAGGTGGAAATGGCAAATGAGCAAATGTGCAAAGCTATGGTAGCTTTTGAGTGGATTTGCAAAAATGGAAGATGTGCAAAGAAGGAATAGTGGATCATGGTTGGGGTGTGTGCATATATATATATATACATGTATTTACAGCAAGTGCGTGGGTCCTGGGAAGGTGGGGGGGGGGTAGCATATAATATATATATATATATATATATGCCCTGAATTTTAATAAGGAACCACCTCCAAAGTGGTTGGTGTCCACCACAGGGTCCCTTTTTCGGGTGTTTCTTCGACGCTCGTTGCGCTTCGGGGCTTGGGATACCTCGCTTCCAGCTTCGAACACTTCCGAAGTGGATGGTCCCAAGGTCCTGGAACTGTTTGTCGGAAAAATGCCAAAATAATTGTCTCTCCACTTTTTGTTGGCCACCAATTTGGTCCAAACCCGAGTGACTTTTGTCCGAAACGGAACTCGGGAAGTGAGCAACGAGTCTATAAGACGGAACAGGTATTATACAATGTCTCACGGTCGTAGCCCTAGGTATACTTGTCAAGTTCGATAGAGTTCACCAAGCGGGATGGGGATTTGTCTATGGTGATTTTTGAAGTGACGGTTGACTCTGCTTCGCCTGGTGTTCTTCTTCAAATGGTTCCGCTCGCCAAACAGGATGTGCAGCCTGGGCAAAGCGGGTGGCAAGATTTGCAAAGAGGGCACCCATTGGGTTAGAGAATATCTGACACCAAGACAATCTATGTGGCTTTGCAAAATAGGGGAGCAAACCGCGATTCCATGGGTGGATTCCTTGGGTATTGTTGAACAACCAAGAAAGGGTGCCTCTATGGTACCTACCGGGCAGAACCCTTGGCGGATATCTTGGAGGATCCCATCCCGTTCGGGTAGCCCTGTTCAGCCTCTGTTTGCTACAAATAGGACCCTAAAAGCAAAGATCCACACATCTACGTAGCCAACTGCGGAGATTGACAGCGCAACCCACTTTAGTGCTATGTAGATATAGGAAAAGACTTTACTTAACTTTACCTGGCTCACACGGGTTCACCAAAGCGTTGGGTGACCAACGTTTGGGAGCAATAACGACGGTTGGTTTCCTTTGGGACACATGTGGGGATTGATCAATACTCCCGGCCCCAGAATGAGCAAGTCGTCCTTTGTGGCAGTTTCCCTAAGGGTCGCACTATGTAAAGGACCTTTTGATCAACCTCCATGTGGGAGACAAGACAAAACATATTCACACCCTGCATACGACCACTCAACACCTGGCACAGGGGTTCACCCAAAACCACATGTGGGCGACGGCATTAACTTGCTGTGTAGCTTAATGGTCGAGTGTTCCCACCTCGTTTTCCAGCCCGGCCCTGTTAAACTCGTGTAAGCACCCAGCCTTTACTCAAATCTTGAATTCAGGCAGCCGGTCATTCAAAGAATCAAGACAGCAAGCGCACCTATGGTTGCCAGTGTCCCCCTACTAATCTTCGCCTACCCTCAGCTTCCCACTCATTAGTGGTCTGGGGTGGCTTGGTGGTTGGGTTGGCGGTTTCCCATTTGTGACTCACTCGGAAACAACCCTTTCCAGGCCCACCAAGATCGGCCTTTTGGCGTCGGAGCCTCAGAGACTTCGAGAAAGCAGCCAAGGCCAGGACTGTTTGACCAGCATGTCAGGGTTGGTGCTGTCCTGCGCAAGTGAGCCCTGCTCACCAAACAAATTTAGTGGAGAGAGACTCACGAACAGATTGGCTATCCTCTGAGGAAGAGAGACTCTCCAAAAGGATCTGATAGGTCACCAAGGAACATGCACCACCAGCTGGTGCTCTCTGTTCCCTCCATTCCACTCCCCTCTCTCATTCCTCAATCCCACCCCCCCCTTTTCCCCCCCCCCCCGCCCCCGCGCGAGGCACGTTCCCGAAGTTCGCCTAGGGTCACCCGTCGGCCTCTGGCCCCTCAGTCCACCGAAGCCCTATGAGAATTAAAATCCCCCCCCCCCTCAAAACAAAACACGACACCGACATGTCCGCCTGGAAACCCGGACTTTCCCCCGAAGGGACCTGTTCCCGCGCATGCCTCTTGCCTTCCCTCTGCAAATCTCGTCGGCTACACCTCGCATGTGGGATGTTAGAACTCAAGGAGTCAGACAAATTCTCCATGGATCCCACGACTCACCCGTGGCTGTGGAAATCATCCATCCAAAACCGCAAACCAGCTCATGTGGCCACGTACCCCCAGTGAACATCCGATTCAATCGCCACTAAAATAGGTTCCAAAATGGGTGGTGCACCTAAAACGGTTTGGACAACCATGTCCATGTTTTGCAGGCAGGAGAGCTTCGGACACCTCACGCTATATCCCTCTCCTCGCTGTAGTAACAGCCATCCGGCATCGGGAAGCCTTCGGGATCCTGGCAGATGCGCAGATGCGCAGGGTGGGTTGGACCAAACTATGGATGGACGAAATCCGCTTAGGCACCACTTTGGAGCCATGGTTGAAACCAGGACGTTTGTTGGTATTTATAGGGAAACCATTGTTTGTTTGTATTTATCGAAACTAGTGTTTGTTGGTATTTATAGGGAAACCATACCGTTTGTTGGATTAATCGAAACTAGTGTTTGTTGGTATTTATGGGGAAACCATAACGTTTGTTGGTATTAATCGAAACTAGTGTTTGTTGGTTTTTATGGGGAAACCATATGTTGGCATTTATTGAAACCATTGTTTGTTGGTATTTATAGGGAATCATCATGCCAGGGTTTCTTAGGTGGTGCAGGATTTTCGTCCATCCGCAGAATGATGCGTTTTTGCAGGTGCTAGCTGGCTCAAGATCCTTCCAGAATCTGTTCGGCTACGGCTGGCGTTGGGCAATGTGACCAAGTGATCAAGTGGTGTGGAACACTTGGGGGACAGCAACAGCAAGCTTGGACAGGGACCGAAAAGAAATCGCCGCACACAAACAAATCTTCCACAGATTCTGCTCAAGGATCTATGGCGTGATCGAATGACACTCCCTATGTAAAGGTCAATAACCATAGCAACCTAATTAAAATAGGCCTTCGATGCCACTGCACACAAAAGCATTTCACGACCCCCACATGCGAGCAATTGCGAAGTATCGCCATTTCAAGAAGGGGATTGCATGGTCACCAAGCTGCCACCGGCAACAAGGGGGTTGCTCGCCAAACTCCCGTGGCACTCACTACACATGGGAGGCTTCTTGAGGACATTTGCCTTTGCACCCCCTTTTTAGGAGTGAGTTCGAAGGGGAAGCAAAAGGAACTCATCATTTGGGCCGGTGGGCTCCCCTAAGCAATCAGCCTTGAACTTGATGTGGGTCTATCTACAAATAGGGGCCGAAAACTTCTACGCAAAGCGCCCACTGTTTGGAGACGAACCACCCAAAGAACCAGGTGTCCATTCACCCAGCCCAGCCAGTTATGAAATCTCCAAGTCGCTTGGAACAAACCTCCCGCCCCCCTCCCCCCTTCCTTCTTGGTCCCACCCCATCTCCGCCGCCTCCCCCCCGACCCCGGGGTCGACGGGTCGGCTCAGGTTGCAGACCTCGGACCAGAGCTCCACGAAGACCTCCCCGCAGAAGTCCTGCCGCGCCTTGCGGGCGGTTTGGCGGGTCGCGTGCCGCCGGTTTGGCGGTTTGGCGCGGGCGATGATTTTCAAAACGCGGGGGGTGGCGGGGGGGGGGGGGGATGGAGCAAAATGTAGGGAGTCGCACCTCACCCGAACATGGTGTGCTTTTTCCTCTTGGCCTGGGAAAAAGGGAAAAGAGCAAAACTCGAAAAAGGACACAGTTACTTGGGTTGCCAAAAAAAACAACATTTGGAGAGGAACCTCAACTCCGTTTGGGAAGTGGACCCCAACCCCCCAAAAGTGGGTTCCATGCGAATGTGTCCCCCCTCTCGCCCTGGATGCCAGCTTGTGGGAAAGCTGCGTCAGCACGAAGACGTCGTGCTGACGAATTCACAGCCGCATTGACAGTTTCTGGAAGGCTCAATTTGCCGAAGTGAGAGGCACCATTGAAATGCAACCTGAGATTTGTCCAATGCAGGTGAGGTGGAAGGCCAAAGCCATGAACCGGATTCGCAACGCTGGGCAAAAGAGCTGCTGATGCTTCATGGCTAGGTGCAACTCCGTTTTCTTTTGAATGCAAAAACCTTGGAAGGGGTGGACCTTCGAAAAAGAACACTGCTTGACCCCTGCTCCGAAGAGGGCCCCAGCAAAATGATTTCTCATAGTGATTCGCGCAGAACAGTCATGCACAGATTTCCCTGTTGAGAACCTCCCTGCAGGGACCCTACTGACCGTGCCTACATGAGGCAACGTTGCTCCTCCTATTCCCCAACAGCTATTCTTGTGACTATGCGCAACAATCATGACAGGGCTCGAATGACGAATGCCATGTGACAACGATAAATCGTCAGAAGAAATTCGGCCGGGTTCGGCCAAGTTCGGCCAAACTCAGTCTCGGCATTCAAATTGTGCGGTTTGGTCTAAGCATTCTGTGTTGCATGAGAAAGGCGAAAGTGGTTTGCCCAAATGTCAAAGAAACCGTATTTCCAGAATTCGGGATCAGGCTGACAATAGAAGACTTCGACAAACCGGACGGCTGGGCTTCCCAGCGCACAGATTCAGCAGGAAGCAAAGGAACTGACAAAACCGGAAAAAAAATCTAATCCCCCCACTAAAAATCCACAAGACAATTAAGTAACCAAATCCACGGTCCCACTAAAAATCTAATGGCCTACTTACTTCCATTTGGTTGAGACCCCTGTAAAATAAATAAAAATAAAATGATAGATTCCCTTCAAACCAACAGGGGACATTTAAAAAAAAAAGAGATTCCCTTTCAAACCAACAGGGGAAGAAAAAAAAACTTAAGGAACATATAAAATAACCATTTCAGCAAATGGAAGCTTAAGGAACCGGAGGGCTGGGGTGCCCGAAAAACCTCCTATGCCCCAACTCATTTTCGGCCTCCTGAGGCTGGTCCAGGTCCGCGGAGACCGAGAGCGGCTGGCACGAAGAGCACCGGGCACCGGGGATGTGGCGGGGGGCAAAATGGGGATTCGGACACCCCCCCACCAAAAAGAAAGAAACCTGTGTCCCTTCAACGCGCGAAAGAAAGAAGAAGAAACAGTATTCTTGTATTTAGCTGGCTGCTCTTCCTTTAGAAACTTTCAGGTGTACCCTCAAGAAAACCAGGCCGTGAAACCTTCCCACGCCAAGGTCTGAAGGCTTCCGTTGTGTTGATCGCTTCCGCAAAAAGGTCCTGGTTTATCCACCATGTCCTTACGGAACTCTTGGTAGCGCCTTAGCTGCAGACAAATTTGGATACCCCTAGCTCCTTGGCTCCCTAGCTAGTTCTGAGTCGTCTTTGGCTGTTTTGCTCACCCCAGATCACTAACCCCTGTTTATTAGTATGGTTTTTGTGGGGATTCAGACCACTTTTGGAGAGACCAAAACCACACCCATAGCAATAAACTGATTGGTTGATTGTTGATTTCAATTCGGGGTCAACATCACACAATCTGCTCGCCACTGACCGCTGTCGTGCATCTAGCACCGCGGGCTGCCGGCCTCGAGGAGGTTTGTGCGCGGAAGCAGCACATCCTGCAACACGTGAAGAACCCCAAACAGCGCAACAAAAGGCGAATCGAAGATGGGCTCCGCTTGCCGCACCATGGGAATACACATATGAGTTATACATATACACATATATATATATATGTATACGTATATTCACATAATCACTTAAAGGCCGCTGTATAGCCGGTATATATTATGATTCTATAAGGGGCCTGTACCCCCCATCTTCCCTTGCGGGTAAACCTTTTGAGGGTCGCGGACATCCGGCCCCTGCCCCTGCGCCCGTCTCTCTGGGCCCGCGGCCCTGTACACCGGGCTGCCGGGAACGGACTCGTCCCTGGCGTTGACCCGGCGCTCCAAAAAAGCTTCGAGTGAACGAGCCAAATCGGCCAAATCAAGCAAATCAACCAAAAAGGACACCTATGCCCGTGGCTTCAGTGATGCGAATCATCCAGCTTCCAAAACCGCAAACCAGATCATGTGGCCATGGGTCAAAAGCCAAATCAGTTCGCCCCAGTGAACATCCAATTCAATCCAACCATTAAATTTGGAAGCCTAAAATGGGTAAATTCACCTACCCCAAATCTGCCCCAAATGGTACCATTGGTTTTGACCCACGGTGCCAAATGAGTCAAATTCAAAACCGATCGGTATTCACATGGGCTATAAAGAATTGAAGAAGGCGGATATCCGCGCCCATTTATGGCAAGGGGATTATCGCTTACAAACCTGCGGTTTTGATTGCTGCTCAACTCGCGTCCTTGAACCCGGAAAATGTGGGTACCCTCTGTTTGCGGCTTCAAAAGGCAACCAAAAGCAAAACCACCCATTTTGAGGGTCCCCTACACAAGACCCACCCATGTGTTGCTATTCTTTCAATCCCAGTCTGATATTCAATCATCTGTACCAAAGGGAATGATCTTGCAGATTGCCTTATAAGACCTCCAGCGGATTTCCATACAAAAAAGGCATGGTGTTTGCTGGTGCTTGTCTTGTAAGGAAAACAAGCAAAAAACACAAAAGCACTGACAACAACCAACAGACCAAACTGTCCAAACAAAACGCGATGGCAAAACCCGCTCCCAACAAACCTAAAAAAGGAGCACTAGAGGTCAAAAACCGAGGTCTGGACAATCCAGGCAGGATCTCGAAGACCAGATGCTGCTGCCCTGGCCGAATCTTAGGACCCCTGCGAGGATGGGGAGAAAGGCAATGATGGACCCCCTCAAGAACTCAGAACTTCCAAAGATTGAAGGAACCTGAAGGCTTCAAGAAGGCAGCGGTCCTTGAAAAGGCTTCTCCCTTTCCCGGTTCCGGTGGAAAATCCACCGGAAAAGACTTGTGGTTCTCGCTTGAATCCCATGCTGAAGTCGTTTGTTTCTGGTGGACTCGCCGCATCTAGATGGGTGAATGTAATGTTTGCTTACTCAACCACCAAATGTTTGGGACTGACTGAGTGATGTTCACTACCCACAGGGAGCGAAAAAGCAGCTGGAGAGCTTGGGTGGGCTAGAGCGTTTCGCTGAGGCGCAAAACACGTGTTCAAACCGTGCTTCTTTCCAGTGGGGCTGACTTGTGTTTACACACAAAGTGAACGAACAAATAGTTGCCGGGGTTCCACTTGTGTTGTACGTGTGTGTGTGTGTGTGTGCCGCCTCGGCGAAACGCTGATTTTCCCTATTCCCCCTAGACATTGGAGTTCAAGTGGGTAAGAAGCTGTGTTTCTCGCAGACCCAGGCAAACTTAGAGAAGTTTTGCGGGTGCAATGTGGCCGAAACACCACGGCCTTCTATGGCGCAAGTAGTTTGTAGAGAGGGGGCCGCCAATCCAAGCTACCAAGCATAGGGTTCCTTTAAAAACCCCCATCACTCTCCCCAAAAGGAAGACCTAATGAGGAATGCAAGGGAACCGTTGAGGAGGGCACACAAGATCACGCCGGGAAGCCTCTACCTCCCTAAAAGCCTGTGAGACCAAAAAAAGCAAGAGCATTGCGAACTTATACTTGAGGATTCGCTGTTTGACACGAGCAATATTACCCCCGCCCTATTTGTTTCATGGAGAACGGCAGGGCACCCATGAAAAGTCAAGAAGTGATCATGAGAGCTCGGATCAAGTTTGATTTTGTGCTTGCGTGTTCTCTTTTCTACCCAACACCATGTCAACAAGTGACGCATACTTATGGGTGTCACAGTCCCTACCCTTTGTAGCTTGCTGGTTCTAGCAGGGAAGCATTCGGAATGACCCCTATAAAGCATCCCCTATGTCTTCCTTTAAGGGAATCCCCAAACGGTTCAGTCCCAAAACCCGGTCTCGGTCATTCCCTACCTATCGCACCAGCAAGATACGTTCTTCCTAATCCTTCATCAGGATAAAAGGTCCTTTACATGGGATGACCATTGGGGAAACCACAAAGAAAAGAAGGAAAAGCTACCGATGGTCATTTGGGGGCCAGGAGTATTGAGCAACCCCCACATCTGCGCGTAGAGCCTGTGGCAGTGGCATAGTGCGCCACGTCGCCCGTCCTACGCGGCCGCTGGGTCGGTCAAGGCACAGAAGTCACAGGCATGGAGCGAATTTCTATGGAAACGATGGGCCTATGCAAAGTGCGCAAAGTATACAACTTATGCGCAAGACAAAAAGTATGCACACTGTGCTATCGCAAAGTATGCAGCTCAAACTATTCAAATCATGTCGTCAAAGTATGCGACTAGGGCAAAGGCAAGAAAGCCAGGCAAGCAAAGTTTGGCGAGGGGATCCCTCACCAAATACAGAGCTCAAGGCTCCTCACCAGATGCATACAATAGTTAAGTCGCAGTTTCAAGCGCAAGAGCCGCAGCAAGCCAGCTGATATCAAGGGCGATGGATTCCCCCGTGCCCTGCTCAGCCCGAAAGAAGCCCGGCTTGGTGTGGGGTCTCAACAAGAAGCCCAGCCTTGCCTTTTCACCATTTCGCCAAAAGGGGCGCGCGCCACAAGGAAACAAGAACTGGAGGCGAGCCTCGCTTAAAGACCTGACTCCAAATGGGGTACCCTTTTTGTGGGGTTTTAAGCAAAAGGATGACCGAAGCCATTTGTGAGGGGGGGCTCCAACCTTTAAAAAGCGGACAGACCCAACTGTGCGCTTCTTTTTGTTTTGTTTTCGGGTGCCAAAAGGAACTCGAGGCCCCCTTCGCAAGCCCCGCCCCGCCCCCTGCGGCGCTTCCCCCAGGTTTTTGGTTTCCGGTCACGAAGGCAATGGCCACCGGGCCACCGGGGTTGGTGTAGCCAGGGGACAGGTCCTCGAGCGATTGCTCAGACGGGTCAGACGGTCAGGGCGCTTTTTCCGCCCGCGTTGCCAACTTTTGGAACTTTGGAAAGGAGGGGGGGGGGGTTGTTGGGGGGGCTGGGGGGGTTGTTGTGTTTTTTTTGGGGGGGGGTTGTTGGGGGTTGTTGGGGGGGGGGGGTTATTGGGGCGGGGGGGAAGGGGGGTTGTTGGGGGGAGGGGAAGGGGGGTTCGATGGACGAGGGGAAAGGTGGCAAAAGAGGAGAGGCCGCTGGCAAACTTGCAACTTGGGAAGGCCGCAAACGGGGGGAAAAAACGAATGACCCCACAAGCAACCAGAAGCCCCAGACTTACGCTGACTGCAGACTCACACGTTCTAGTGATGGTTTCATGCTGTAGCCAAGCAAAGGGGAACACCAAACCAAAATGGGGAACCCAAGTTCTTGCGGTCTCTCTGAGGCGGGTATCATTGCAAACGTGCTCACCGAGTTGCTCGCAAAAACAAAAACACGAGAAACAACTGCCTGTGAAGGAAACAAGGAAGTAGTTCCCCAACCATGTCCTGTGTTTGTGGGTCAGGAGCGTTCAGGAATTGGCCCTGAGAATTCCACTGCTGTATGCTGTGTACTCATACCAATGCACATTTATAGACTAGGTCCTCCAGTAGAAAGGATAGAATAAGGGTACCCTTTTTTTTCTGTAGTCTACTTTAGTAGGGGAACCCTCCCCCAAAAAAGGGTAAAAGGGCGCTACTGGGGGACCTAGTATATATATATATATGGCAAATATACATGCAACTCCCAACCCGGTGGTTTTCCCCGCCGGCATGACCGTGGTGAGGCCGAGGTATGCCTCTGGCATGGCGTTCCTGGCCCAACAAAGGCGACAAATGAGCGCTATGGATAGCTTGCCCACAGGTCGATGCAGGTCAACTCGACACCCTTGCGAGGAATTCGCGAGAGAGAGAGACAGAGAGAGAAAGAGAGAGAGAGAGAGAGAGAGAGAGAGAGAGAGAGAGAGAGAGAGAGAGCGAGGGAGGGAGGGAGGGAGAGAGAGAGAGAGTGAGAGAGAGAGAGAGAGCGAGGGAGGGAGGGAGAGAGAGAGAGAGAGGGTGGAACTAGAGAACTAAAGGATGTTTCCGAAAAACCGCTTCGAACAAAGATACTTCACCAGTTTTGGTGTTCCTGCGGATGCGACGCAAATGATGGTCCTTGGCTGCAAGCGATCGGACCCGGTCCAGAATCCGGGTAAAAGGGTCCTAGGAAAAAATAAAAGAAGAACAGGTGGGGACTTCATGGACAGAGGTGAGCGTAGCGCGACCCCTTGGAGCGTGACCTCACCAGCCAAGTAACACTCAAAGGTGTCAAACGAATCTAAGCATGGTGTGGTAGCAAAAAGCGTTGTTTTTTGCAGCCCCCTTCTAAAAATGAACAGAACAAAAAAAATGAAGATTCATCATAGGGAATGACCCCCAATCACCCATGGGTGTGTCTTTTTGTGAGGACCCTAGGTGTTCCGTTGTGGTGTCCAGTGACAAGCACGGAAAAAAGCACCAAGCCAAAACAGACGAGCCACCCACATGAGTGCGGCTCAAAACTTTGAAGAGCGCGCTACAAAAGTGTTTGGTCTTGGGTTCCATTTACATTGCGGGTGCCATTTTGGGTAAGTGTCATATCTTCTGGAGCCACCGGCCACATGGTCCGAAACTAAGGGAGCCCCAAACAATGGGAACCCCAGAAACTCCGCCGGCTCCGCGGGCGCTTCACCGTGATCTGCCCAGCCTGCAGATTGGAGAAAACGACCAAAGGTGGATGTGTCTCAAAATGGGAACCCCCCCCCAGAAAAAAAAAGGGAAAGAGCTATGGTTGGTTGCCCTGGACTTTCCGGCTCAACCTGTTTCAGCCCCAGAAGAGAAAAAAAGGACAAACAAAACAATGGTTGGGTTGCCCTGCACTTTCTGGTGCAACCTATACATAAAAGAACACCTCAACTGAAGAAACAAGCTTTGCGCAGAAAGAACACGCACCCTTCTGGGCGGCGCTTGAAAAAAGTCAAGGCGAGGTGTCCCTGCCCCTTGACCAAGAGATGGCGCAGGCTACTCAGATGCCCAGTGGATTTCAATGAGGACAAAAGGATGCATCCTAAATAGGCCCAAAAAAGCATTCAAACCGAAGCCAAAAGGAAACCCTTGCAGGAACTCTCAGATGCCCAGTGGCCATGGGAAATCATGGGATCCTTTCTTGGTTGGTTGAGTTTAAAGGAGCCCTTCCAGAAAAAAGGGAGCCACTGGGCAACTGGGGGTATGCCCGAAAACATCCTGAAATGGTTTGGTCTCCAAAGACTGCACGTGTTTTTTGTCTTCTCCGCCTGCCCCACGTAGCTCTGGAAGTCGGTCGCTGCCGTACTGCACTCACTGCACCTGTTCCCCGGGAGAGCCATGCGACGGTACGGCCTCTCCCAACTCCACTTTGCCACTGCACGGGCCGCGCACCCCGCTCCCCTTTTCAATGTTGCTGGCATTGACCAAACTCAGTTGCTTTCCGCTCCGCTGCTAAAAGTTTCGCTTTTGGTGGTTTCATACGGAAAACCCAAATTCGTTGGCAAAAAGTTAAAGTCCAAACATCCCTTGGCCAAATGCGCCAAAGCAAAGGTGGTGCAGCTGTTCGGGCTCATTCCAATATGTTTGCCACCCTTTCCGGGCCCACCAAAGACTTCCAAATGCGGAGCGACTGCCAGGGTTCCAAAAAACCACGGCGAAAGCGCTCTGGCGGTTTGGGGAAATTTGAGGCCTGCCTGGCACTCGTATTGAGGCCCAGGATCCATCTCTCGTGTCCTTCCCGCAAAACCTGTCCCTTCCCTTCCCTCCCTCCAGTGCTGAGATCGGCGCCAACAAACGATGTATCCACGGCCTTCAGGCGATTCGGCGCCATCATCCACCTGCAAGCGAAGCAGCTGCAAAGTTGTGAAAATCCACACTGAAAACCATCCTCCCTCCCCCGCAGCCCCCATGATTTTTGGGGGGCACTCACAAAATGGCGCTTTGAAGCCACCAAAAACTTGCTGGTGCTCAGTAGCAAATGAGGGAATGACCCATATCAACGTCCCTTGTAGTTGGTGCACGGCGTGTAGACGGCCGTGGTGTTTTAAGCGGTTCTTGTTTTGTCTGTTGTTGTTTTGTTTTGCATTTTTGTCTTTTGGCCCGCGCTTCCTTTGGAATAGTTTGTCCAATTTAGCTGCTGTTTGCGTGGCTTATGGGGTGGGGTGGGGGCGGAGGGAGGGAGGGGGATTGATGTCAAGGTTCGGCTGTTGAGCTGTTTTTCTTGGGCGTATTTTTTGGGACACTCTGACTTGTTTTGCGGAGGCTGCCGAGTCGTGATGCGTATGCTTTTGAAGTGTCTTCGTCTCTTGTTCCACCCCCAAACCGGTCTGAGGTTCTCTTGAGGGTTTGGTCTGCTTGTGCCTGGTACTGGAACCATCATCTTGACGTTTTCTGCACCATTTCGCGTGGAGATTCTGTGCTTGAATTCGTAATTTTTGCCTCCATTGATTCCAACCGTGGTCCGATTTGCCTCACTCCTTTGACTGAACATCTTCCTTCACTTGCGTCCGCCTGGTCTCGGTATGTTTGCACGGTTGGTGGCTGCCTTGCCCCTGCTTTGGCTGCTTCTGCCTGTGTTTTGTCTAGCTGGGTCTGCGCCAATCCCCAGTGCCGACATGGGAGTGCCTGGGCATCACTTGGCACGTTTTAGTTGCATGTCAAGTATATGTTTTCATCAGCAGTCCGATTCCAAAGTAGTTTGGCGCAACATTTTGGACTTCAAAGACGTGCGTTGGGCAAGACAAAAAAGTGCGCGCTGCGAATCACACTGTAGCGCCAACGCACAACGCTGCATGCATGGCCGAAAAATCCCTTGAAACCACCACGTGCCGTCTACACGCCGTGTACCGTAGCTTCCTTCAAAGGAACCTCTGGGTCCATTTCCTCACTCCCTACTGAGCACAAGCAAGAAAAGAAATCCCTCAAAAACGACGCAGGCAGTTGGACCATGAACTTCCACATCCTAAAGTAATTTGTAGATGGATGTGGATAAAGAATGACAGGTGAATGCGAGGAAGACCTATAGACGAAGCAATTCACCAGGATAAGCCGTAAACAGAGGAACCAGACGGAGGCGGTCTATCATTAACCCTTCATTCATCACAGAATTAGCAGTACCCTTGTAATTCCTGACATGGCCATGGATTCGGATCTTGATACTCCCCACGCGCCCGGGTAATTTGGCCGGAGCTGAGTTGGCTGTAAATTGAATCATAGAGATGCATCTGTCCAACCCTTTTGGTAGCAAAACAATGCCTTTTGCAGCCACCTCAAAACGAACAGCACACACACACAAAAAAAAAAAAAAAAAGAAAAAAACAGAGAAGGCGTCCTGAAACCCCTCCCCCTACGACATTTGAGTTAGCATGCACTAGCATCTGAACAAAGCAAAAGGACTCCACGAGAGTCCTATTGACCCGTACCGCAAAGTCCCAAGTCGGCCTGGACCCTAGTATCACCGGATGTTCCCTTCAAATGTTGGGACTTACTGGTAAGTCCCACTGCTTTGGTGGACATCATGCATTTGCGGGTTCATGCCAACCAACCATTTCGAATGTTCCAACAAAAAACCATATCCATCTTGGTTGGTCTCAAAAAGAGAAAAGCCCTCACCATGGTGTGGTCCAAATTTCAGCTCAGCTCTCCGGCGAGAGCATTCCTTCCTTCGCGGATCTGGTCGGCTTCAAATGGGCGTCTTTTTCTTTCAGGCAACTCCTTTCTGGCTGATTTTTCTTCAGGAATACCAAAAGAACCGCCTGAATCATTGTTTTCTTTTGAGGAAAGCCAAAAGAACCGCCTGATTCGGTTTTTGTTGCTCCCCGGGAACACCAAAAGGGCAACCTTCCCATGTTGGGGGGGTGACCTTAGAAAAGACGGACCCAATCTGCCCAAATGGCTACCCTCCCGTTGCCGATCCCCGAAAAAAAACCGACCCGGACTGACCTTGATGCCTCGAAAGGTCTCCAGCGATGTCCGCGACCAACTGAGCGGAAGTCGGATGTCGGAAGTCGGAGCGAGCGCCGCTCTCGAGGATGTACGCTTTCCCAAACCAAGCACCCCCAGGTAGGGGGGGCTAATGGAATATACATATATATATATATATATACATAGATATATATAGAAACATATATATATATATGTATACATATATATATACATATATATATATATATACACATATATATATATATATGTGTATAGATACATATATATGTATATATGTGTATAGATACACATATACTCCTGATATAACATGTGTATATATAGATATATCCCCGAAACAATTGTTGTACAAGCGACATCTATGCCATGTATTTCTGTGGGGATGATGGGTTGCAGGTAGCTGGAACCTTCCTGGGCACTCACATCATGTGCGTGTTGGCTCTACCGAAGTGTCCTGTCAATGCCCGGTGATGCCTGGGTTGAAAACACTGAGAGGACTCACACAAATCCAGGGATTCAAGATAGTCAGGAAGCTGGTCAACACACAGAAAGCCCTTCCCACAAGTCAAAGGCCCCAGACCCTGGATTTCATGTTTTGACATTCTTTCCAAGGCTAGAGACCTTTCGAGGACCCAGGCTGGGAGTGAGGTGGCTTCGTTCCAGAACGAAACCAGAGAAGTCCGCAGGTGAACGTCGCCTGGGTGTCCTTTCCACAGATGCCACGAAATGAAAAGAGAAGGCGAACCCAGCCTTCTGCCAGGCGAACAGGTTTCTCTCCAAAAAATGGGAAGGGGAAGGAGATCCGCGGAAAAACTGTTCCAAGGACTCCGAAGGGTTGCCGTTCTCCACGCGAGCGAGCCACCGACGGATGCGATCGATCCGAGTTCAGGGTCCGACTCCACGCTGGGTACGTTGGGGATGGGCGGGAACTCCGCAGCGGCGAAGCGCACCGGGACCAGGATCTTCCAACCTTCGAACCAGGGAATTTTGGTCTGGGGGTTGGTATCCGATTCTTGCGTCCTCATTGAACTCTTGGTGGTTGAGGGGATTTTTGGTCTAGGGTCCGAGACCCCTTCCCTAGGGGTCTTCCAAAGTGGTTGCTATCACTAGTTAAACTATCACTTTTGCTGCCTCATTAAACTATTGGGGAAGGGTGGGTCGCCTAGTGGTTGAGGGAGAGGGGTGGCTGGCGGTTGGTTCGGGGGGAAGTGGGGGTTCCCAAAAAAAATCCAGGGAAGTCTAAGGCCCCCTTGATCCAGTAGGTGTTTTTTTTTCCCTGCAGGGGGTGGTCCAAGGGAAGGTTCCCTAAATACCCTAAGGAACTCTAAAGCCCCCACAACAAACCTCCCGAAAAAAATCTGGCGCGGGGGGGGTGTCCAAGAAGTCGAAGGAACCCTAGGCTGTACTAACCCCCCTTTGCCATTCCCACGAAACTAGGGGTCGTCTAAAGTGGTTGGTATCCTTTGGCGTCCCTTTAAACACTCGCCAACTATTGGGGGTTGCCTCACCAGATTGAGATGCATCGATACTTGAAGGCGATAAGTTTGGTAGTTCGAATAAAATCGAGGTCCGTTTCCTGCTGCAAAGGCGTTAAGCCAGGTGTTTCAAATAAAGTTGGGGTCCTCTAAAGTCGTTGGCAACCCTGGCCTCCCTAATACCAACTGGCAAATGAGTTCACCATTTTGAGAAACTCCCTTATCATGATGTTGCGCACCAGCTCCCATATCATTCTGGGCTCCTTCATCATCCTGACCGAGTCGTCACGACACTGCATGCATGCTTGAGGCAATCTTCCATGGTAAGCAGGCATGCCCACTAACCTCCATTGCATTTGCTTCCGGGGAGCTAGAACCACCTCAACAAATCATTGCTGTCTCCTTCTGTAGAAATGTGTGGGTGAACCTCACATCGCGCGTGTGTGTGTGTGTGTCACTTAGTTGTGTTGCATTCACTCGCTTGCCCAGTGACCAGTCAAAAAAAAGTGCACACTTTTCGGGCCACCAGTAAAATAAAGGGAGAGCCACCAAGGAAAAAGTGTAAAGTGCGCCCATTGGCTGGGTGAGTTCTGCATGCGGATTTCTTTCAAAATACCATGGCCAAAACCTCCGGTTCACCCGACGGGATGCTTCTCCTCTTGAGCTCTGGGATTCCGATTCCCCGTTCCAAGTGCGATTCACTATGGAAAAACGGCACACCATGGAAAGAACCAGAAGCTCCGAACCAAACCGGGCACACAACGGTGAGATGCCTTTCTTGTTGGACTCAGCATGCTTCATGCTCTTTGATGAGGGTCTGCCTTTTTTAGAGTTGGCACCCCATTTTGGGTGGTTTTACAGAGAAACCACCAGGAAAACAACAATTGTTTTGGGGGTCCCCCAAAAAAATAAAAATAAAACTCCCTTCAAGCTTCTGTCCGTTGACGACAAGGAGTGGACGGGCCACCGCTTCTCCAGGACCGCACCAGAAACCCCCGAGGTGGCCGCAGGATGTGGCATCGTCGTCGCAGGAGACGAAGACCTGCGGAAAATAGATCGGGCTTCAGAGTGAGTGGTTCATCCCAAGGATACACGGAGAATGCCCTAAATAGTACACCAACCAGTAAATCAACCACACCTACCCACAAAACCACGGTGAAAAACATGGTACATTGGGGAGTGCCCTTGTTTTACTTGCAATATTTAGGGTATCCCCCGAATCATGGGAATTGAGCGGCTAATCCGAGAAAAAAGAAGAAAACTGGAAAGGCACCTCCAACAGCTATACAGGAAACCTCCCTTGCCACAAGGAAAGTAGTCTTTCAGAATGGAAGCGCATAGGCCGTTTGCCAAGGAAAGCGGCAGCAAACCACTAAACAATATCTGGGTGTGTCTGTCCTTTCGGCTTGCGGGCACCCCGAAAAAGGCTGGTTTCCGTTTGGTGTCCCTTTGACACCTACGAAAAAGGGTACCCTCACAAAACGACAGACCCATTTGTTGGCAGGCTGCCTAGAAGTGCCTGCTGTGAACAAACTCAATGGCCACCCGCAAAACCAATCGAGTCACAGTCACATGGCATTGAAGGGGTCGATCCAAGACCAGAAGAATCAAAACAAAGAGTCTTGCTGGGTCTCAGCAGGGAATGAGAAATGGAATGACCCCTATAAGCCATATGGTGTGCTTTAAGGGAATCCCAAAGACCGGTTCATTCCCAAAACCCGAACGTCATACCCTGCTAGGGCCTCCAGTAGAGAGGTTAGAATAAGGGTACCCTTTTCTCTGTAGTCTATTTCAGTAGGGGAACCCTCCCCCAAAAGATGGATAAAAGAGCACTACTGAGGGACCTAGCGTATCTATCGCACCAGCAAGTCTTGACGGCCCCTGTCGGCCTCATGCACCGTGTTGAACATCTCCGCCCGCTTTACAGCCTCGCTCGCCGGGAAAACCGGAGTTGTCCAATTATTTGGTCAAAACCCGGTACCCTTCCTCCAACATGGCACCTGGGAGGTACCTGGAAGATGAACTTCCTTTTGAAGGGACCCGCTGTCAGTTGCCATGTTGGTTGGTTAGTAAACACCCGGAGACGGACTCAAACCTGCGGGCTTTTCCGGTGGTGACTAATAGTTTGACCCCCATATCCATATCAGTAGTGGAATGGTCGACCCAGAACCATGCTTCAAGAATTAACAACCCGGTCTCAGTTGTTCAGTGACCCTGGAAAACAAAGGGAAGCCTTTTTGGGGAAGACCATGTTGAGTGGGGCGGCCACCCAAAAAAAATGCAAAAAGGATGCCACTGAACAACTGAGAGGTAGTAAAATGGTCGTAATCCCAGAACCATGCTTCAAGAAAAAAAGGAAGCCGGATATCCGCGGCCATTTATGGCAAGGGGATTGTCCCTTACTAACCTTCATTACCCGGGTTTTCATTGTGGCTCAGTTCTCCCGCACGCCAGGGGTTCGGAAGATGGGCGCTTCGTCTTGTTTTCTTTCGAGTTGGTAACCCTTGGTTTTGGGTAGGGAAACCGATAGGGAAAACACCCATTTTACCCCTGTTCTTGTGGTAAAGGGAAACCGTAAGGAAGACCACCCATTTTGAAGGGTAGCCCAAAAAAAGACACCCCCCATATCGGTTTGTCTCAAAGGGCCGCCATTTGGGACTTCCCGTTTAGTCTTGGTCGCCTTTGAGATTAACCCCCCAGAAAACGGTAGCTCAAAAAATCAACGCCCCCAAGCACCGGGGTCCGGAAAATCAGCCTCGGAGCCGACCCAGCTCACACATCCATTTTGTCGGCCGCAAGCAGATTTGACCCACAGTACTTCCATAAAAGCCTCGGTCGAGGGTCCACACGGTAGCCGCCGACTTCCAAAAAAAATGACACCCACAAAATGACACTACTCTGATACAGGAGGCAATGTTGGGCATTTGTTCAAATCCAAATCACAAGCTAAATGATACAAAATGGCTACAACACAGCACAAATGTTGGGCATTGGTTTAGGCATCGATGGGACTTGCCCCAAAGCCTCCCCATCGATGAGGAAATCCAACAAAATCGCTGCGGCTTCGCAGCTTGAATGTAGGGGCTTGTAACTGGAAACCCCACAGACATCGAGAATAAAGCCAAACTATAACTTGGAATAAAAGCGAAACACATGTGAGACATAATCAAAACCAATCGGCATTAAGATGGTCTATCCAGGGCCATTAAAACCTGCGATTGGTCTAATTTTGACCCATCATTTATTGCATTCAAATCCAAATCCATCCCCCAATCCAGACCACCAACTAGGGTGACCTGAGGCATAGCCAAAACCCGCTATTAAAATGGTCGACCCCATGTAAAGAATTGGGAAGGAGCGCGCCCATGTATGGCCGGAATTGCCCCTTGCTACCCTCCAATTACCGGGTGTTGATTGTCTAGGTCCTCCAGTAGAGAGGCTAGAATAAGGGTGCCCCTTTTTCCTGCCGTCTATTTTAGTAGGGGCACCCTCCCCAAAAAAAGTGGGTGAGAAAGGGCACCTAGCCGGGGGGACATAGCAGCTTTTCTTGAGTGGTACTCGTGTTTGTTGTTGAGTTGTTGTGGTTTCAAGGTGAACGCGAAACAGGCTGTTCTTGAACGGTACACTCTTTTTCTTGCGGCTGTTGAAGAAAAACCGAAGGGAAAGAAAGCGCTTGCCCATTTCGGAGGGCACCCCCCGCTGGAGAACCTAGTTGTGACTCATGTAACCCCCCGCTTTGAGCAGAGAAAAGACGCAAAACTGGGCCATCCCGCCAGCTTCCGGGCGGCGTCCGTGTTCTCCGCGGGATCCGGGTTCACTCCTGGTGCTCCACCGAGCGCTCGGGCGAGCAAAGCCAAGTCAGCACCCAAACGCTATGGGCCCGCGCAAAGAAGGACTGCTTAACCAAAAAACTGAAACACAAGAAATGCCAAGAACAGTGAAGACAGAGTGGTGTCTGGGGTCAAGGTATTTGCCAAAAAAATAATGCAAAGGGTCAAACTAAGGCAGCTCCGGGAGAACCGGACCGAGCGAGAGCTCGGTCGAGCAAAGCCAAGTCAGAACCCGAGCACTATGCGCGCGCAAAACAAAAACGGACTGTTTTTTGCAGACCAGACCAGGACCAAAAACCTAAAGCACAAGAAATGCCAAGAACAGGGAAGACAGAGCGATGTCTGGGAACAAGGAATTCTTTAAAAAAACTCGGCATCAATACAAAGGATCAAACCAGTGCTCAGAATGTAGCGGTTGGTGTGTTGGTGCGTGCGTGCGTGCGTGCGCGCGTGCCTGTTCCTGCGCGTGTGTGCGCGTGCGTGTGGGTGTGCGCGTGCGTGTGCCTGTGCGTGTGCCTTTGGGTGTGGGTGTGGGTGTGCGTGCTTGTCTGTGTGTTTGTGTGTTTGTGTGTTTGTGTGTTTGTGTGTTTGTGTGATGGCGTGTTTGTGTGTTTGTGTGATGGCGTGTTTGTGTGTTTGTGTGATGGCGTGTTTGTGTGTTTGTGTGTTTGTGTGTTTGTGTGTTTGTGTGTTTGTGTGTTTGTGTGTTTGTGTGTTTGTGTGTGTCTGCGTGAAAATGTCTGTGTGTGTAAGTGTGTTTTTGTGTGTTTGTGTGTTTGTGTGTTTGTGTGTTTGTATGCGTCTGCGTGAAAATGTGTGTGTGTGTGTTTGTGTGATTGCGTGTTGGCGTGTTGGTGTGTTTGTGTGTGTTTGTGTGTTTGTGTGTCTGTGTGTCTGTGGTTGTGTGTTTGAGTGTTTTCGTGTTTGTGTTTGTGTGTGCCTGCGTCAGTGTGTGCGTGTGCGCGTGTGTGAGTGTAAGTGTGTGTGTGTGTGTGTGTCTGCGTAAGTTTGTGTGTGTGTGTAAGTGTGTGTGTGTGTGTGTGTTTGTGTTTGCGTGTTTGCTTGTTTGTGTTTTTGTGCGTTTGTGTGTGTTTGTGTGCGTTTGTGTGTGTGTGTGTTTGTGTGTTTGTGTGCTTGTATGTGTGTGTGCGTGCTTGTGTGTTTGTGTGTTTGTGTGTTTGTGTGCTTGTGTGTTTGTGTGCTTGTGTGTGTGTTTCTGTGTTTGTGTGTCTGTGATTCTGTGTGTGTTTCTGTGTTTGTGTTTGTGTGTATTTCTGTGCTTTCGTGTTTCTGCTTTTGTGTTTTTTGTTTGTTTGTAAGTTTGTGTTTGTGTGTTTGTTTGTGTGTTTGTGTGATGGCGTGTTTGTGTGTTTGTCTGCTTGTCTGCTTGTGTGTTTGTGTGTTTGTGTGTTTGTGTGTTTGTGTGTTTGTGTGTGTGTGTTTTTGTGTTTTTGTGTGTCTGTGTGTCAGTGTGTCTGTGTTTGTGCGTTTGAGTGTTTTCGTGTTTGTGTTTGTGTGTGAGTGTGTGCCTGCGTCAGCGTATGTGTGTGTGTGCGCGTGTGTGTGTGTGTGTAAGTGTGTGTGTGTGTGTGTGTGTGCGTGTGTCTGCGTAAGTGTGTGTGTGTGTAAGTGTGTGTGTGTGTGTGCGTAAGTGTGTGTCTGTGTGGGTGTGGGTAAAGGTGTAGAGGATGAGAGTGTGTGTGCGCGCACGCAAGTGTGTGTGTGTGTGTGTAAGTGTGCGCAAGTAAGTATGGTGCGTGTGTGTTGGTGTGTGTTGGTGTGTGTTGGTGTGTGTTGGTGTGTGTTGGTGTGTGTTGGTGTGTGTTGGTGTGTGTTGGTGTGTGTTGGTGTGTGTTGGTGTGTGTGTGTGTGTGGTGTGTGTTGGTGTGTGTTGGTGTGTGTTGGTGTGTGTTGGTGTGTGTTGGTGTGTGTTGGTGTGTGTTGGTGTGTGTTGGTGTGTGTTGGTGTGTGTGTGGTTGTGTGTTGGTGTGTGTTGGTGTGTGTTGGTGTGTGTTGGTGTGTGTTGGTGTGTGTTGGTGTGTGTTGGTGTGTGTTGGTGTGTGTTGGTGTGTGTTGGTGTGTGTGTGGTGTGTGTGTTGGTGTGTGTGTTGGTGTGTGTTGGTGTGTGTTGGTGTGTGTTGGTGTGTGTTGGTGTGTGTTGGTGTGTGTTGGTGTGTGTTGGTGTGTGTTGGTGTGTGTTGGTGTGTGTTGGTGTGTGTTGGTGTGTGTTGGTGTGTGTTGGTGTGTGTTGGTGTGTGTTGTGTGTGGTGTGTTGGTGTGTGTTGGTGTGTGTTGGTGTGTGTTGGTGTGTGTTGGTGTGTGTTGGTGTGTGTTGGTGTGTGTTGGTGTGTGTTGGTGTGTGTTGGTGTGTGTTGGTGTGTGTTGGTGTGTGTTGGTGTGTGTTGGTGTGCGTTGGTGTGCGTTGGTGTGCGTTGGTGTGCGTTGGTGTGCGTTGGTGTGCGTTGGTGTGCGTTGGTGTGTGTTGGTGTGTGTTGGTGTGTGTTGGTGTGTGTTGGTGTGTGTTGGTGTGTGTTGGTGTGTGTTGGTGTGTGTTGGTGTGTGTGTGTGTGTGTGTGTGTGTGTGTGTGTGTGTGTGTGTGTGTGTGTGTGTGTGTGTGTGTGTGTGTGTGTGTGTGTGTGTGTGTGTGTGTGTGTGTGTGTGTGTGTGTGTGTGTGTGTGTGTGTGTGTGTGTGTGTGTGTGTGTGTGTGTGTGTGTGTGTGTGTGTGTGTGTGTGTGTGTGTGTGTGTGTGTGTGTGTGTGTGTGTGTGTGTGTGTGTGTGTGTGTGTGGTGTGTGTGTGGGTGTGGGTGTGGGTGTGGGTGTGGGTGTGGGTGTGGGGTGTTGGGTCGTGTGTGCCTGTGTGGTGTGCTGTTGTTGTGTGCGCTGTGCTGTGTGCCGTTGCGTGTGCTGCGCATGTGCGCGCCGCGTCTGTATGCTGCGCGTTGCGCACGCGCGCGTCGCGGGCGTTGCGCAGCTCGCGCGCTGTGCGCGTGCCCGCGCGCGGCGCTCTGTTCGCGCGTGCGCGTGCGCGTGCGCGTGCGCGTGCGCGTGTGTGCGTGTGCGTGTGCGTGCGCGTGTGCGTGTGCGTGTGCGTGTGCGTGTGCGTGTGCGTGTGCGTGTGCGTGTGCGTGTGGGTGTGGGTGTGGGTGTGTGGGTGTGTTGGTGTGTTGGTGTGTTGGTGTGTTGGAGTGTTGGTGTGTTGGTGTATTGGTGTGTTGTTGTGTTGGTGTGTTGGTGTGTTGGTGTGTTGGTGTGTTGGTGTATGTCTTGGTGCCAGGTCTGTTTGTGTGTGTGTTGGTAGTGTTGGTGTGTTGGTGTATTGGTGTGTTGTTGTGTTGGTGTGTTGGTGTGTTGGTGTGTTGGTGTGTTGGTGTATGTCTTGGTGCCAGGTCTGTTTGTGTGTCCCTGTGTGTATGTGTGTGCGTGGGTGTGTATGTGTGTTTGCTTGTCTGCCTGACTGTCTGCCTGCCTGCCTGCCTGTCTATCTGTCTGCCTGCCGCCTATCTGTCTGTCGTCTGTCGTCTGTCTCTGCCTCTTTGTCTGTCTCTGTTTCTGTATCTGTCTCTATCTCTGTCTCCGTCTCTGTCTCTATCTCTATCTCCGTCTTTGTCTCTGTCTCTATCTCGGTGTCTGTCTCTGTCTCTATCTCTACCTCCGTCTTTGTCTCTGTCCTTATCTCTGTGTCTGTCTCTGTCTCTATCTCCGACTCCGTCTCTTTCTCTGTCTCTGTCGCTGTCCGTGTTGCTTGCTTGCTTGCTGGCTGGCTTGCTTGCTGGCTTGGCTTGGCTTGGCTTGGCTTGGCTTGGCTTGGCTTTGCTTTGCTTTGTTTCGCTTTGCTTTGCTTTGCTTTCGCTTGCTTGCTTGCTTGCTCGCCTGCGTGCGTGCGTGGGTGCGTGCGTGCGTGTGTGTGTGTGTGTGTGTGTGTTGCATGTATGTGTGCATGTGTGTGTGTGTGTTGCATGTATGTGTGCATGTGTGTGTGTGTTGCATGTATGTGTGTGTGTGTGTGTTGCATGTATGTGTGCATGTGTGTGTGTGTTGCATGTATGTGTGCATGTGTGTGTGTGTGTTGCATGTATGTGTGTGTGTGTGTTGCATGAGTGTGTGTGTGTGTGTCTGTGTCTGAACCTCTGCGTGTCTGCGCGTCTGCATGTCTCTGTGTCTGTATGTGTGTGTGTGTGTGTGCGTGTTTTTGCGTCTGCGAGTCTGTGTCTGTGTGTGTGTGTGTGTGTTTGTCTCTGTGTCTGTGCGTCTCTGTGTATCCGTGTGTCTCCGTGTGTCTCCGAGTGCCTTCGTGTGTCTTTGTGTGTCTTTGTGTGCCTCCACGCGTCTCCCTTTGTCTCCATGTGTCTCCATATCTGTCTGCACGTGTCTCTCCATGTCTCCGTCTGTGTCTCTCCGTGCATCCCTCTATGTGTCTCTGTGTGTGTGTGTGTGCGTGTGTGTCTCTGAGTGTGTGTTTTCTCTCTAGCTCTCTGTGTCTTTCTGTCCGCTGTCCCCTGTCGCCTGTTGGTTGTGGGTTGTGTGTATCGTGTCACATGGCTCCTGATAGCCTCACGCGGTCGCCATCCTTCAGGCCATGGCTCCTGGCTCCGAAAGGGCCAAATGGATCCATTTCAGCTTTTGAGGGAAGATATGAAGAACTCAAACGGGGCATGTCCGAATCCAGAAGCCGCAGCTCGTTTCAGGGATGTGTGTGTGTGTGTGCATGTCTGAATCAAACCACATCTTGCTTGCGACTTGCCTAAACTTGCTCTGCAAAAGCAAAAGACTAACTGGCATTTGGCCCAAATTTCTTGGACCGAGGGCGACAAACTGAGCTAGAAGCGTTCCTATTTGGCCGAGGGCGTGCCAACAAACTCTGCCGGGCTCCCTGGTGTTCACCCTCTGCCGTGACCCCAAGGTCAGCGGAACTGGGCTCAAACAGCCCAGTAGAACTCCCAGGACCGCCATCTCAACATTTGGGTGTGGCTCAATCTGAAAGACCATTTGGGCAGATTAATAACAACCAAGGCGCTGATATCTTTGTGGGGCACCATTTGTAAGGTCTGAGCCTTTTAGCCCTCGTCTCCATTTACCAAGGTGCTATTGTGGCTGGATGCCGGCGGGTTTCCCCCGAACCGAACGCCAGAAAACCTTGGGCTCGAGGCGCAAGAGTCACAAGACGCCAAAACATGGGTGTCGGGTGTTTGTAAGGATACCTGTTCATTCTTTGTGGTTCTAAAGGGAAAACAGCATGAAGGTCGAAGCCATTTGGGGGGGTCCCCTTACCAAAAAAAAAGAAGCCAGCGCCACCCGTGGCAAAACTGGCCGGAGGCGAGGCAGGGGCTGCCCAAATGTCCCAAACCTGCAGAAGTTCAGGGGTCATTCTTCTGACCGTGTCTAGGGTTGTCAAAGTCAGCGATTTGGCTGGATCCCTTTGAGCTGCCACGTAGGGTGTGTTTAGGGTTGAGGTCAGAAACTGGAATCAGTTGCTCCCCTTTAGAAGCGCCACGGGGGGTGACTTTGATGGTAAGATCATGGGGGCCGGAAGTGTCGGTCCGCGCCTATCAAAGGCGATCTCCGTGCCCATGTCCGACCATACCTCATCGCCGGGGAAGGACAATCGATCAGCTCCGACCAGGGAAAAGATGAGAAGAGAAAAAACCCAGCGATAGAGAAATGAGAAAAACAAATGCGACACAAATGAGAAAAACAATGAGAAAACAACCAGGAAAGAATTGAAAAATGAGACAAAAACACCCCGCGATAGAAAGAGCCAACCTCCGGAATGGCTCATGCAAACAAAACAACTTTCTGATCCATCTCTTTTTTCTTTATTGTGGATGGAGTGTCTATGACATTATGAAAGAGAAACTATTTTATGAACCTAGAATGGGACAGTAATCATAGTAATGCAGTGCATCTGTTTCTATGAGTAATTACCTGTTCTCTGTCGAGGACATTAGCAACTCACTCAGGACTTCTGGAGATTGCTCTCATCTCCAGGATTCCTGTTGGTCATGTCCGTAACTCTCGGATCTTAGGTTGGAGGGTCAAGATCGCAAGACTTTTTTTCACATGGCGCGAGCAGCTTCCCACCACCTCCCAACTCGGAATCTCGGACGCCAAACACATATTGGTTACGACCCCCCACCCCCCCCCCACCCCCTGCCCTTGTATTGGACCAAAATCTCTTGCCTCCCTCGTGAGCTCGCCCCATGCAACCCAGGATTGGTCGCTAAAAGGACGGCCCCTCCTTTTTAGAGTTGGTACCCCTTTGGTCTGGTAACGGAAAAACCAAAAAAGCACGCGAAGTGTGCCATGCTGAGGGGGGCCGACCTACAAAAAGCCGGACCTAGCAACTCCGGATTTTTGTCCGAAATCCATCCAACGCGCCGTTCAGAATCCCTGATTTTCTGATTCCATTCCCCAACCTAAGCCGAACAAACCAGCCACATAAAGCCACCGCTCGCTCGCTGAGGCGCCATGGTGGTCAGCTTCGAGTTCGAGGTGTCCCGCGTGTGCAGCGTGGCTTGGGAGGCCTGTGGGGATCCGGTGAGCCGAAGCCCATGAGGGCCATATATCCCCCATGGCGATCCTTGTGACATTCATGGGTGGCTTTCCTAACTTTCTCTGAGGGTAGCTTTTGTTTGGCTTTGGAGAAGCGACCGTGGGCCAGATCTCCCCTCCGGCGACCTTGTGACACATGGCTGGCCTGCCGTTTTCTTTCTCTGAGGCTCGTCTCTTTTTTGTTGCTTGAAATCTCAAACCAAAGAAGCATCCGCTTCCCTCCAATTCGTGGCTTGGATTGGCCATTTACCCTCTGCAAGAACCAGGGAGGCCTTCAAATCCCCAAACCTTGGCTGGCGAGACCCCTCTGCACAAAAGTGGGGGCTCACTTTTGGTGGGTCCCAACTCGGAAAAGTCGGACAAACCAAAAAAGCGGGTTGTCCCCAAGTTCGCTTTTGGTGGTTTCACCAAAAAACAACGAACGTCCAGAGAAACCCGTACCACATCCGCCATGAAGCGTGGCCCCGGCTCCCAGCTTCGCATCATTCCCAATTCACAGCTGATCCGCAGACGAAAAATCACCACAGAGCCCATCTGGGGAAGCTCGAGGGTTCTCCACAAAAAAAGATATCTCTTGGGTGACCCCTCCACCAAGGAGCATGGAACCTGACGCTTGGGGGTCCTGGAAGACAAAATTGTCCTTGTAAGGAGACCCTGTCAGACTCCATGTTGGTTGGTGCCCCATCGAGTCAGTCATGTTCCTCGTGTCAGCCAAGGTCACGACACGTATGAAGACATGCCAGGCCATCATTTGATAGAGGACATGGGAGATCACTCATTTGCCAATAAGCATCTTCTCAGGTTCACATACTGATTTGGAGCCATTGCATGCATGCATGGATGGATGGATGGCTGCCTGGCTGGATGGATGGATAGATGGATGGAGATTGATGGATGGATGCGCACTTGCATATGTTTGTATGTGTGTGTGTGTGCGCGCGTATTTGCATGTACCCTATGCTTCCTCGACAAATAGGGGTTGTTCAACCCCTATTTTTTTGCATTGACAACCACTATTTTTTGACATTGGCCTTTGGGGTCCATTTTGGGTTGTTACTTTGTTCTTATCGAAATTACGCCTGCTATTGCAACCTCTTAAGAAGCCTTGGGAGCCAGTAGATTACTATTTATTGATAGGGTCCTCGGCGCCCTTTCGTGTTTGCGCAATGCACCTGCTGAAAGTCTTGCGTAGACGGAGCCTTCATTCCAGCAAATTCTAGAATTGTCCTCTGCAATTTAATTTGCGCAGGTGGCACGAACAACAAGCAATTTTGTGCTAGTTTTTTCCGCTCCAATTTTCACACAGCTCCAAAAACGACGTGAGCGTAGACAAACCGTAGACAAAGCGTAGAAAATCCGTAGAAACACCATTTTTTGGCGTAGAACCACTATTTTTTGGCGTAGAACCACTATTTTGTGGCGTAGAACGGGCAAATTTTGCAGGGGACCCAGAAGATCAACATTCTCATCCTGGAATGGTTGCTGTGATGGGTAAAGTTTTTTGCTGTCCCGTTTTGCTTGGTTTGGCTAAGAAGGTGGGGCAAAAGAAGGGCAGAAACAGTCAGAAGAGGATTCACCCTCACGCGCTACATGGCCATGTTAAGAAACCAAGCAAAAAATCCAAGCAACTAGCCATGAAGATTGTAACACATATTGCTGCATATGAAAATACATATTCGGCTTTGGGATCCTATGAGGCGGCCTTAGCGTCAAGTCTTTCCTAGTCCCTGTTCCAGTCCAAAACGGAGGCTGCCGCTCGTCATCAAAAAAATAGTCTTTATCAAAAAACCGGGGTTGTCACAACGACTATTTTTAATAGGCTTTGGAAGCATAGGGTGTATGTGCAAATATGTATGGACATGTATACCTGTATGCATAAGTGTATGTGTATGTTGTATACCGTGTGTGTGTGTGGGTCTGTGTGGGTGTGTGGGTGTGTGTGGGTGTGTGTGGGTGCTTGTGCGTGCGTGCGTGCGTGCGTGCGTGCGTGCGTGCGTGCCTGCCTGCCTGCCTGCCTGCCTGCCTGCCTGCCTGCCTGCCTGCCTGCCTGCGTGCGTGCGTGCGTGCGTGCGTGCGTGCGTGCGTCCGTGCGTGCGTGCGTGCGTGCGTGCGTGCGTGCGTGCGTGCGTGCGTGCGTGCGTGCGTGCGTGCGTGTGTGTGTGTGTGTGTGTGTGTGTTTATGTGTGTGTGTGTGTGTGTGTGTGTGTGTGTGTGTGTGTGTGTGTATGTGTGTGTGTGTTATGTGTGTGTGTGTGTGTGTGTGTGTGTGTGTGTGTGTGTGTGTGTGTGTGTGTGTGTGTGTGTGTGTGTGTGTGTGTGTGTGTGTGTGTGTGTGTGTGTGTGTGTGTGTGTGTGTGTGTGTGTGTGTGTGTGTGTGTGTGTGTGTGTGTGTGTGTGTGTGTGTGTGTGTGTGTGTGTGTGTGTGTGTGTGTGTGTGTGTGTGTGTGTGTGTGTGTGTGTGTGTGTGTGTGTGTGTGTGTGTGTGTGTGTGTGTGTGTGTGTGTGTGTGTGTGTGTGTGTGTGTGTGTGTGTGTGTGTGTGTGTGTGTGTGTGTGTGTGTGTGTGTGTGTGTGTGTGTGTGTGTGTGTGTGTGTGTGTGTGTGTGTGTGTGTGTGTGTGTGTGTGTGTGTGTGTGTGTGTGTGTGTGTGTGTGTGTGTGTGTGTGTGTGTGTGTGTGTGTGTGTGTGTGTGTGTGTGTGTGTGTGTGTGTGTGTGTGTGTGTTGGTTTGTGTTGCGCGAGTGTTTGTGTTTGTGTCTGTTGTGTGCGCGTGTGTGTGCGCGCGCGTGCGTGCGCGTGCGTGTGCGTGTGAGTTTTTAGGGTTTTTTTGTTTTTTTTCTTTTTTTTTTGGCGCGGCGCGGTTTTGCGTGCGTCGAGTGTTGCTGTGCTGTGCGCGTCGTGTTTCGTGTGTCGCGCCGGTTTTTGGCGTGTGAGTGCCGTGTGCGCCATCTGTGTGTGTTTAGTGCTGTTTGTGTGCGCGTTTGCGTGCGTGTGTGCGTGCTTTGTGTGTGCGAGTGCGCGTGCTGCGCAGTTGGTGTGCGCGCGCGTGCGCGTGCGCGTTGCTGTGCGGTGCGAGTTGCGCGGCTGCTGCGCATGTGCGTGCGCGTAGGTGCGCGTGCGTTGCGCTTGCGTGCGTGCGCGTGGCGTGGCGCGTCCGTGTTTGCGTAGTGCGTCTCTTCTGTGCGTTAGTGCTGTTGTGCGTTGGGTGTGGTGCGCGTAGCTTGCGTGCGCGCGTGCGTGTGCGTGTGCGTGTGCGCGTGTGCGTGTGCGTGTGCGTGTGCGGTGGGGTGGGTGGGGTGGGGGTCCCCCCCCAGACCACCCCCTATGACATACAAACCCCCCAGTTTATACACTAAAAACCATGAACTGGGGAATATATAAAAACCCTCCAGTGCATGAACTGGAACCCCCCGAGCCCCAAAGAAACAAAAGCAAACCAAAATGAAAGGGAAAGAAGAGGAAGTGAAGAGTACTTGAGAAGGGGGTGTAAGGGGAATTCTGAGGGGGATGTAAGGGAAACCTGAGGGGAATGTAAAGGGAATCTGAGGGGAATGTAGGAGGGGGATGTGAGGGGAATGTGAGGGGAATGTGAGGGGGATGTAAGGGGAATTGTGAGGGGGGTGTGAGGGGGATGTGAGGGGGTTTGAGGGGAATGTGTAAAGGAAATATGAGGGGGATGCGGGGGGGGGTCTGAGGGGAATGTGTGAAGGAAATGTGAGCGAAATGCGAGGGCAATGTGAAGGAAATGTGAGGGCAATGTGAAGGAAATGTGAGGGACATGCAAGGGAAATGTGAGGGGATGCAAGGGGGATAAGAGGGGAAGAACCACCAGTTTATGCACTGGAAGGCCCCGGTTGGAAGATTAGGGGGTGGGAAGATTGGGAGAAGACTTGGGGAGACTGGGAAGATTAGGAAGAGACCTGGGGAGACCCCAGTGCATAAACTGGAATGTCCTGATGGGAACATCAGGACGAGACTCCAGTGCATCAACTGGAAGGCTTCTTGCGGGGAGAATAAGGGGGGACCCCAATGCATGAACTGGAAGGTCTAGGACCAGCCTTTAAAGGAGGGACAAGCCTTCACAAAGAAACCCGTGGCAAAGGGAGACCGGTGCCAGAGAGACCCCTGGAAGGAAACTAGTCCGGAGACCAAAGGGGACACGCCTCCGGAAGGAAGACCAGCCTTCAACAAGAGGACTGAGGATTCCTAGCGCCTGAACGGTTTGTGCAGCTCTTCCACACCAAGCCCAAGAGGCCAGCTGCAAGGTGCGTTACCCTATTCCTATCGCGGCTGGGCATACTTGCGCTCTTGTTCCTTCTTTTTATTTGCCATTCATTGATGGCATTATTTTATATTTTTCTTTGCCATTCATTGATGGCTTTTCATTTGATATTCTTTTGCGTTCGTTGGCGTTTGATATTATTTTGCATTCGTTGGCTTTTGTTGTTCTTCTCTTGATGCGGTACTTGAAAGAGGCTTTGAAAAATGGCGCTGACCCTAAGGTCTGCCGCCGCTTGAAATTGTGGCGCTGACGCATCGGAAAGCCGCCGGTGAAACGCGTGCAATCGGTCATTGGGCCTTTTGCTTATGAAGCTGTGGATTGCTGCCTTGAAATGATCAAAACAGACGCAGTCAGTCAGGAACAGGGGCTGCATCGACCGCTTGGCTGATGGTGGACAAATCTTTCAACTTGTTGAGTCGGTTGAATCGGAATATTGGTAGGAACTTTGACACCGCAGTTCATGCACTCAGACTCCATGAATTGGTGACCAACAGAGTGACACTACCAACCAAACAGCCCAGCCTGAAGCTCGTTGACCGAGTTTCTGAGGCCGACGTTGTAGTTGTCTGCGTGCACCCTCTCCGTATGGTGCAGCTGTTGATGCACTGCAGCGTGCTGCAGTCCCCAATCCTCGACATTCGCGCTGAGGTTCTGACTGATTGCTTTTCGAGCCTGCCGCTCTTTGACGCCAATGACCTTCTTAAAACTTGGTTGAAAAAGCAGTGACCTGGGACTCATCCCAATTTCCCGGAAACAGGGTCATGCAACAGGAGGCACCCTCCCCGCGCTCCTCCGAATTATTCATCGCCTTCGTGCCCAAATTCGCAATCAAAACTGGCCTATGGCGCTTGAGGTAGTCCTCGTAGAGCGCCTGCAAGCTAGGATGGAGTCTTTTGCCCACATCCATGACCTGCTTGGCGGTCGTTTGCCGCCAAGCTGACTTTTCCTCAGCCGGTTCCACGTACACCGCGAGCTCACCGGTGACTTCCTCAGTTGGTGCGGTCTGGGTGCATAAACTGAAACGACAGAAAAGCTAAACCCACAGGAGAAGAAATGAGAAAATGTTACATAAGCACGGACAGGGCCCTCACTGCGCAAATGTCCCAAATGACCACCAACATGCGGATATCTCGAGTTCTGGCAGACGTCCAAAGCAACAGTTTGGAAGCCAAGAGCGCCTGCTTGCCCTGGGCCAATTCGAGACGATTTTCTTACAGGGAGGCGTATTTTCCTTGCCCTTGCTTTTCAGGCCGGCCAGTTTGTGCTTTTGCACATCATCCTCAAAGGCCGCCATACGCCCCAACATTCCCTGCAATGTTGGGGGAGGGGGTCGAACGAAAAAGCCCCCATCCGCTCGGTCCGAGTCTGGGACAAACACGTCTGCTCGTCGTCGAGGCTTTGCCATCGACTGGGCTGCTTTGAGGGCCATTGTCTTGACGTCCATACTCCTCGTGATCCGCCCCCGTGGTATACCACTCATGGGCTTTGCCTCAGTTGGCGTCAATAATCCATTGAACCCAAAAAATGTAAAGCTCCAGTTCATGCACTGGGGTCCCACGAAAGTAAAGGAAGAAAAGTTGATGAGGTGTCAAGTTGAGATACGGTTCGGAGGGTACCTCATTGACACGGGGACTTCGGGATCCACAATGTTGGCCTTGTCGCGATCCGCTGGAAGGCTAGATCGGCCTTGAAGCGTCGGGCGGGGAGAGCCCGATTTCTGGGACTTTGGGGACTCCAGCTGTGCATCGTGCACGTCTCGCATCTGCATATCGGGCTGTTGACGCGCCAACCACTCCTGATCCAGAAGGCTGTAATGTAAGTCCTCACCATCATACTGGATCGGAATTACAGGCGCTTTGGGCGACAGTCCATCGGAGTACATTGCCTCTCGATACGCGTGGGTGCGTGGGTGCGTGGGTGCGTGGGTGCGTGGGTGCGTGGGTGCGTGGGTGCGTGGGTGCGTGGGTGCGTGGGTGCGTGGGTGCGTGGGTGCGTGCGTGGGTGCGTGCGTGGGTGCGTGGGTGCGGTGGGTGCGTGGTGCGTGTGGGTGCGTGTGCGTGGGTGCGTGCTGCGGTGGGTGCGTGGGTGCGTGGGTGCGTGGGTGCGTGGGTGCGTGGGTGCGTGGGTGCGTGGGTGCGTGCGTGCGTGCGTGCGTGCGTGCGTGCGTGCGTGCGTGCGTGGTGCGTGCGTGCGTGCGTGCGTGCGTGCGTGCGGTGCGTGCGTGCGTGCGTGCGTGCGTGCGTGCGTGCGTGCGTGCGTGCGTGCGTGCGTGCGTGCGTGTGCGTGCGTGCGTGCGTGCGTGCGTGGGTGCGTGGGTGGGTGGGTGGGTGGGTGGGTGTGTGCGTGTGTATGGGTGGGTGGGTGGGTGCGTGCGTGCGTGCGTGCGTGCGTGCGTGCGTGGGTGGGTGGGTGGGTGTGTGTGTGTGTGTGTGTGTGTGTGTGTGTGTGTCTGTCTATGCACGTTTGTGTACTTGTGTGTGTGGACAGTCTGAATACCGGTCGTGCAAGACATTCCATCGGATGGCTTGCAGTCAAGTACAAGCTTGGTCCGTTGCGCCGAAAAACACGGCGCCATGTTGTTGTTTGGCCCTAGATTGAGTGAATGCCACTAAAACACCTTGGCCGTGAACAACCGAGAATACACATCCATATCTCCCACAAGAGAATGACACAGCATCGCGCGCGGGACAAATTGGCAGGAGAGATTGTGCATGATGCTAAGCTTGCTCATCAGGACTCGCAAAAGTTATACACACAAGGACCACCTTGGTCCATTCTCTGTCTCCCCCGCCCGCCACGCCACGCCGCCCGGGTGGAAAGATCGGAGGTCATATCATCTCAGGCCGCGGCGGGGCCGTTGGCGTTGCCCGTGGGCCCCAAGTTTCCGCAGTCCTGCAGCCTCGAAGCCCGGGAAGCGAGAGTTGGCACCCTGCCTCCCAACATGGCAACTGGAGAGGGGGTCCCTTCAAAAGGAACTTGATCTTCTACCTCCCCGGCGCCATGTTAGTTGGAAGCGTACCCTCAACTTGGCTGGGGGAAAAGGAAACCCGTCATTCTGGGGTGGGGTACGGTGGGGTGGGGTTGGGGTGGGGTTGGGGTTGGGGTGGGGTTGGGGTGGGGTCTTGAGTGAGTTGGACCAAAGGTGAGAAACTTGCCTGGGGCCTCGAAGGTGAACCAACACACCAACTTAATGCGGCTCGAACGATGGGTTCAAGCCATGCCAGGTGTTCACTCGCAGCCAGGAACTTACAGTCCATGCGCTTTTGTGGGCCCTAGAGTCCGCAGGGCCCAAAAAAAAACGGCCCTGCATCGGTGATCCGTTTCTCGGCTTGTTTTTTGGCTCCCAACCCGGAGGACGAGCTCATGAAAACTGGAATCCAAGCTCGGGCTTCGAGCCTGCAAATCGAGGCGACGAGACGAGATGAGTCCAATGAATATCTGGGGGGCCCCTCCGACCCCGCTCGAGTGATAAAGAAAACTTTCTAAAAGGGGGGTCCACCAAACTCCACATGCGGGTGACTTTCAATTGTGGCCCTTTGGGGGGGGGACGTCACTCTGGTGCTTTACCTGCACCAGAGTTCTTTGCAGGTTATCACCCTTCAAAATCATACTGTGGATGCTTGTGGAATCCAGTTCGCACCACCGTTCAGAAAGCCTGGTTCCTGATTCCATTCCCCAACGTAAATACCAACAAAACGTTCTGGTTTCAACGTTCTGGTCTCATTTCGTGGTGTCGCATTTCGCTTTTCCCTCCACAGGCGGCCTGGTCCAAACACCCCAATAGAAATGGGGCCTGGTCATAGGCGTCCCAGTCCACAGTACGACACCCTGGCTTCAAAGGAAGCCATCAATGGGACCTTCTTCTCCAACCACGGACCTCCAAAAACGGACCTCCAACAAAACGGACCCCCCAAAAGAACGGACCCTTTAAAAGAAAACGGACCCCCCAAAAGAACACGGACCCCCCAAAACGGGACCACCTCCAAACCGGCGCGGCTCTTTCCGCCCGCCGCACCTCCAGACACGGCGCGATCGAGCCTCTCGCGCCGAAAACTTCGGGTCCCGGGCTGCTGCGAGGTGCTTAAGATCAAGGCCTCGCAACCGGCGAAGCACGCGCGGGACGCGGGCGGTTCGCGGCACGCGAAGCACGTGGGGCGAACGAGTGCAATGGCGAAACACCGAACACCAACGCAACACCAAAAAGCCAACATGCATGTGTATATATATATATATATATACATATACATATATATGTATATATGGTACCCCTCGCAGGGACCTACCATTTGGAAGAGTTCACTGGTATGTGCAGTTCTTTCTACCCTTTTTTGGGCTTTGGGGAGAGCAATGAAAAAGAATCATGTCCAAGGACATTCTGGAAGCGTCAGGCTTGATTTAAACCGATTTAAACCGATTTAATTTGAATCGGGTATGGATTCAAGATTCAAGAATCCAGGCCAAACTGTTCCAGGGAATCTTGAATCCAGGCCTCGATTTAAAACGATTTAAACGGATTTAAACTTTAATCGGGTATGGATTCAAGATTCAAGATTCCCTGAAGAAGATTGGCCTGGATTCTTGAATCTTGAATCTGGAATCCATGCCCGATTTAAGTTTAAATCTGTTAAAATCGTGTTAAATCGTGGCCTGAATTCTTGAATCTTGAATCTTGAATCCATGCCTGATTTAAAATTGAATCGGTTAAATCGGTTTAAATCCAGACCCAAATTCAACATTGCACTTTGCGCGCCTGTGCTTTGGCACAGTGTTGTGCAAGCATCCAAGTCCTGATTATTCATTCTATCTGTTTCAATCTGGTCCCACATTCAAGATTGTAGGCCAAACTTTTCTATGGGATCTTGAACCCAAGCTCGACTGAAACTTCAGTCGGTTTCAATCGGTTTTCCTCGGGCCTGGACTCGCTTTTGAAAAGAAGACTTGTCTAGAGAATATTGATTCTTGAATGTTGGATACAGGCTGGGGTTCTTTCCTCATCAAATCCTGTTACAGCTCTAATTGAATTGTAAGAATAATTGGGAAAGGAATTCTATTTAAACTCGAAATTTTGGATTTGATTACCATTAGGATTATGACCAAATATGTCCGTATTGAGTCCCAATAAAATCCTGTTCAAGTTCAAATGAGCATTAGAGCATTCGTTGGTAGAGATGTGAATTGAGTATGAAAAACGCTGCACAACACTGTGTTTTGCGGTGTGTTCTGACCATGGAAGTTTTAGGACTAGTGAAAAGACACAAGTTTGGGACCTTTGGATTCTTTCCTTACGAATTCTACCAATATGGTTCCTCAAATTCAACCCAATGTCTGATTGAAATTCAATAGAGCTTAAGAAGGACATACTCCAGCCAGAATTTCGATTTAGATGCGAACTTAAATATTGATTGTTCTATGTCAAAGTACATGGTACAAACGATATCCTGTCCAATAGAACATTGTACTTGAAATTCAATCACTTTCAAAACTAGAGTTAGATGGTCTAGTCCTAGTTTGGTCCTAGTCCGAGTTGGGACATCCGTGGTTCTAGGCCTAGTATTGTGCGGTCCTAGCTTGCTGGCCTAAATAGAACGTATAAAGCACATTACAAAGGACGCTCCTTATGAATTCTAGTTGATATATTAACCGAGTTCTATGCAACTGCTACCTGAACAGTATAATTTTAAATAAGGAAATATCCAGTCATAATCTATTTGCTAAGTTGGAATGTAAAATATTGGCTATTCTGTTTCAAACCAAATATTAAACAGGTTCCACCAGAATGTAATACTTGACATCCAAACACTATAAGAAGTAGAGTTAAATAGTCTCCTAGATGAGAGGTCCTTGGTTCTAGTGTTAGGCTGCTCCCTAGTTTACTGCAATAATTAGAAAGTATAAAGGACAGTACACAGAAAGTTATACTTGCAGTTCAGTTTTTGTATTAATCAGAGGTGGGTCGTCCAGCCCTAGCTTGGTCCTAGTCCAGTTCAGCGATCCTGGGTTCTAGTCTCATTTGGTCCTGGTCCTAGTTGAGAGATCGTTCCTCCCAGTCCTAGATGGGCAAATCATGCACTGGAGAGGCAACCAAAAGGTAGGTCCCTGAAGGGGGGGGGGAGTTCGCATATATATATATATATATATGTATATATGTATGGGTGTGGGAATATACATACATAAATATATATGTATATACATATATATATATATGTAGATGTACTTATGAATGTTATGTGTGTATATAGATATATATGTGTGTGTATTTATATATATATATATGTGTATTGCATACTTATTGACTTTTCATGCGCGCCCTTCTGGTCCAAACAGCACCTTTCCCGTTTGAGTCTCCGGGTTTTGGTCGGAACTTCATCCAGCGGATCCCAGCATGTGGCTCTACAGACCACAGACCTGCTCATATATTTTGAGTCAACATGGTTGACGCAAAAACCAGCCAAAGGCTTGGATGCTCAACCTATTTTGTAAGTAGGTTATAACCAAGGGAAGTTGCCTCATAACCATGGGTGTAACCTCAGTAACAAGTAGGTTGAACATCCAAATGATTGGCTTCATGGTGGTCTTCTTTTTTCTTTTGAACCTGTCCACTTTGGGAGCGCCCTTAGGTCATCAAGGCCATTCAACAATCACCGAGGCCGCCGCCCGGTTCGTCTCCTTCAAGTCGTAGCCACCCACGTCGATGCTGAAAGTGACACCTGTGTACCTCACGATTTGGCTGCAAGCCGAGCGCACAAAGATGGCGCGTCCCACCCACTAACACGGCAGGGGGTCGCTTCAGGAAATTCATGTTCCAGGTACTTCCCCACAGTGCCACGTTGCAAGGAGGGGTAGCGTCCACAAAAAGCGGTAAGATGCACATGTGGCCGTGGGTCAAAACCAATGGTGCCATTTTGGGGTAGGTGAATTCACCACCCATTTTAGAACCTATTTTACTGGTTGGATTGAATCGGATGTTCACTGGGGGCTAACCGATTTGGATTTTGACCCATGGCCATGGCCAGGTTTGTGGAAAGCTTAGAAAGACTGGCCCCATCCTCAAGTCCCAGGCCAAGCGGTAGGTTTCCGGGCAATCCTCCCCGTCCAACCTCCATGCCTTTGGAGCATATTTCAATGAGGATTCGCTCGTTCCCTTCGCTGTTTCGTCCCCGGAAGAAAGATTTAAAAAGAAAAACACATGTCCAGTAGTGAAATCGATTCCCTTACAAACCGACAGGAGAAAAGACAACTATTCATTTGAGCATTGCTTGAATTAAGAACTCGTTCTGTCTGAAAAAAGGTATGGAGCCATTAGCCGTCGCCTTGTCCAGCTTTGTCTAGAAGTCGGCCCTGCCACCAGCTCACCTCGCCGTACACGCGGTCGAGGGGGGGGGTAGAAGGGGAGGGAGAAGGCGTTGCTTTCTTCAGGAAACCTTTTTGGGGGGGGGAACAGGTTATCATGCTGGCTTGTTATGACCACCCCTGCTTGCCCCGATCTAAATGTTTTTTTTGACCAGTGGACATATTCTATGGGTGCTGAAAAACTCGACAAGACCCCTGTTTATCCCAAAAGCATCCACACAGTTTATTGGACCCACACACTTCAGGGCTTCAGGACTGCAGGGACGGGGATCCGCGCGGGCTGTCCGGACTCGGAACCACCCAAGCTGAGCGAGGCACGCCCGAAGACTGCCCAGTTGCTGACTTCGTTACCTCAGCTCAACCCAAACGCTTTGGGCGAGCGCAAAAAAACCGGACGGCTTCTTGCAGCCCCATACGAACAAGGACAACAGAACCCCCGCAAAAAAATATACTGGTGCTCAGCAAGGAATGAGAAATAAAAAGACCCGTATAAACCATCCAAATGGTGGCTTCCTTTAAGGGAATCCCTAAATTTCCCACATTCCCTACCTATCGCACCAGCCAGAAGAACAGTGATCCGACTTTGTTGTGCAGCTCCGGGAGCCGGGCAGTTGGAGTCGCAATAGCACGCAGCGTACCAGCCAGGCCTCAGCTCAAAAGGTGTCCGAGCGACTTTTGCCAAACTCACGGCCAAGTCGTGGGATCGGGTTCTCGCGGGTGGAAGTTCCTGATCAAAACGGCTGTGTCTGAAAAAGAATCCCCAAAATGGAACCTTGGTATGAAAGACCGCGGAGTTTGAGCCACGCCCAAATCTTTATGAGTCCGTCTTTGGGGCAGGGCTCTTGTAGAGAGGCCCGCACCTGCCAGAATCCCCCCCCCCGACCGAATCTCAAAAAAAAACGTCATGTGTCTCCACCCGCAGATGATCTTAGAGTGTTTCCTGCACCACGTTTGCACCGAGTGTTCACGAGAAATCCAATTCCTTTGGGCCTTTGGGCTGCCCTTTCACTCAGATGTTGGGGTATCCAAAGTTCGCACCGGCTACTCACATGAGTCACAATCAAAACCCGGTATTAAAATGGTCTACCCAGAACCATTTAAAGAATTAAGAAGGCGGCCGCAACTATTTCTGGCTGGGACTGCCCCTTACTAACCTTGATCTACCTAGGTCTTTATTGTGGCCCACATGCCCTGAGTTGCTGAAGATCAGAGGTTCAGATTCGTGTTGTCTTGGATGTGAACCCCGTGGTACCTCCTAAACGGGAAGGTACCAGGGACCATCTGTTCACCAAGCGATTCACGTGATGCACCAGGGAATCAGCATAGCTATCACCCACTGAGTTATATCATATCAAGGTTGCCCCAAAAAACAGCCTGCGACATACCAAGAAAAACGGCGTGACCCGACCCAATGGGTATGTAAAGGAGTCTTGCCATCTCTTCGCCGTAGCTTTAGGGCCGGTGCCCCTTGCCCGGTTCCACAAGATTCTTTCAGCCGCGAAAAAAAACCGAAAGTGAAGGAGAAAGAGAGAAAGAGAGATAGAGAGAAGGAGTGAAAGAGAGAAAGAGAGATAGAGAGAAGGAGTGAAAGACAGAAAGAGAGATAGAGAGAAGGAGTGAAAGAGAGAAAGAGAGAAAGAGAGAAGGAGTGAAAGAGAGAAAGAGAGAAGGAGAGAAAGAGAGAAGGAGTGAAAGAAAGAAAGAGAGAAAGAGAGAAAGAGAGAAAGAAAGAAAGAGAGAAAGAGAGAAAGAGAGAAAGAGAGAAAGAGAGAAGGAGAGAAAGAGAGAAGGAGTGAAAGAGAGAAAGGGAGAAAGAGAGAAAGAGAGAAAGAGAGATAGAGAAAGAGAGAAAGAGAAAGAGAGAAAGAGAGAAAGAGAGAAAGAGAGAAAGAGAGAAAGAGAGAAAGAAAAAGAGAGAAAGAGAGAGGAGAGAAAGAGAGAAAGAGAGAAAGACAGAAAGAGAGAAAGAGAGAAAGAGAGAAAGAGAGAAGGAGAGAAAGAGAGAAAGAGAGAAAGAGAGAAGGAGTGAAAGAGAGAAAGAGAGAAAGAGAGAAAGAGAGAAAGAGAGAAAGAGAGAAAGAGAGAAGGAGAGAAAGAGAGAAAGAGAGAAAGAGAGAAAGAGAGAAAGAGATAAAGAGAGAAAGAGAGAAGGAGAGAAGGAGAGAAGGAGAGAAAGAGAGAAGGAGTGAAAGAGAGAAAGAGAGAAGGAGTGAAAGAGAGAAAGAGAGAAAGAGAGATAGAGAAAGAGAGATAGAGAAAGAGAGAAAGAGAGAAGGAGAGAAAGAGAGAGATAGAGAGAAGGAGAGAAGGAGAGAAAGAGAGAAAGAGAGAAAGAGAGAAAGAGAGAAAGAGAGAAAGAGAGAAGGAGAGAAAGAGAGAAAGAGAGAAAGAGAGAAAGAGAGAAAGAGAGAAAGAGAGAAAGAGAGAAAGAGAGAAAGAGAAGATCAAAAGAAAGAAAGAAAAGAAGAAGAGAAGAAGAAAGAAAGAAGAAGAAGAAAGAGAAGAAAGAAAGAAGAGAGAAAGAGAGAAGGTGAAAGAGAGAAAGAGAGAAAGAGAGGAGAGAGAAAGAGAGGATAGAAAGAGAGAAAGAAAGAGAAAAGAGAGAAGGAGAGAAAGAGAAGGAGTGAAAGAGAGAAAGAGAAAAGAGGAAACAGAGAAAGAGAGAAGGGTGAGGAAGGAGTGAAAGAAAGAGAAAGAAAGAAAGAGAAAGAGAAAGAGAGAAAGAGAGAAGAAAGAGAGAAAGAGAAAAGACAGAAAGAGAGAGAAAGAAGAGAAAGAGAAAGAGAGAGAAAGAGAAGGAGACAAAGAGAGAAAGAGAGAGAAAGAAGAATTGAAAGAAAGAAGAGAGAAAGAGAGAAAGAGAAGGAGTAGAAAGAGAGAAAGAGAGAAAGAGAGAAAGAGAGAAAGAGAAAGAGAGAAAGAGAGAAAGAGAGAAAGAGAGAAAGAGAGAAGGAGTGAAAGAGAGAAAGAGAGAAAGAGAGAAGAGAGAAAGAGAGATAGAGAAAGAGAGAAAGAGAGAAAGAGAGAAAGAGAGAAGGAGAGAAAGAGAGAAGGAGTGAAAGAGAGAAAGAGAGAAAGAGGGAAACAGAGAAAGAGAGAAGGAGTGAAGGAGTGAAAGAGAAAGAGAGAAAGAAAGAAAGAGAGAAAGAGAGAAAGAGAGAAAGAGAGAAAGAGAGAAAGAGAAAAAGACAGAAAGAGAGAAAGAGAGAAAGAGAGAAAGAGAGAAAGAGAGAAGGAGACAAAGAGAGAAAGAGAGAAAGAGAG